TATGTCTTTTTATAAGCCCCGTCACTAATTTTTGTTGAGCTTGAAAGAAAGATTGAAACCTTCTTTCTTGAACACAAGTCCATATTGCTTCTTTTCAATATCGCTATTATAATGGAATTTTGACCATTGAACAAAATTTAATAGCTTCTATAATAAAATCAAAAACCATCACCATTGCCAAAAGAGTCAAAACCTGATATCAAATTCTCTAAAGAAGGAGAAACAAGCTTCATCATTCTTTCATAACAAGCTTGGTGGCCTTAGAATTTCAATTCTTAGGGAGACAAGCAATCATTTAAACCATTTGGTTAATATACACTATATTGATTTTAAACTTGCAGAGGACAATGATAATAGAAACAAATATAGAGCTCTTTTTCCAACCTGATCTCTTAGATTACAAAGATAGAGTGAGAGAAGACAAGCATTACACGACTAAGAAAATTTCAAATTTCTAAAAAGACAACTAATAATTGATGCAATAGAGTACAAATTTTCTTCTTCTATTATTTTATAAATTTTAAAACTATCCCTTATAATATAAATGATCAAATAATGCCTTAAAAGTTAAAATTGTGCGATTATATTTAAATTATTTTATATAAGTGTCACATACAACTTATTAAAAAACATAAACTTTGTAGATCAAGAACACCTGACCTTAGTTAAATCTTATAGTATAATATATGCTTCTTTATCTTAAAAGTTTAAACAAGCTATATGAATAATTTTAATAAGGTAGGTAGTAGTAGAATTTTCATCCTATTTTCTCTTTTGATTAAACATTTGATTCACAATATTAGCTTTGTTATACACAACAAGATTTTTTAAATCACCTTTTACAGTATCTCCATTCTTCTATGGCTATAGTCAATTTCTATGCTATCAATAAATATCAAGAATGTAAATAAATATGGTTAGATTTAGTAGATTTATTATCTTCTAATATTTCTTATATTTTTGGAAGAGACTAAAATATGGTTGAATATTCATAAGACAAAATATTCTTTTGTGAAAGAATTCTTACAAGAATCAATAAAAAAAATTGGAATTTTTTAAAATCTCACTTTTTTTTTGTAGACTATTTGAAGTATATAAATATCATTAATTATTCTTTGAAGTATAGCAATCTTTTATTCTTGTAATTCTTTAAGAAAATCGTCAACATATTGGCTTGCAAATTTTTTGTAAAAATATTCAAGTATTTTTAAACTAATTTAAAATTAGAAAAAATAAGAGAAAATAATTTGTATTAATATTAAACAAAGAAAAACAAGTGATAGCATTGACAAAGAATTCTATGCATTTATTTAAAAAAATCATTCTAAATTTTGTATCATGGAATTCAAAAACTTGAAAACTGTGTTATAAGGAATTTCTTAAGACTTTAAAATTTATTTTTAAAAATCTCTTTTCTAATCTTTAAAAAAAAAAAAAAAAAAAACATAGAATCCATAGAAGTCAAAAATCTTCTTATCAACATATTTGTTAAAAAATCAAAAAAAGAATAATTAGTGATATTTTTAAGCCGTTTATTTTGTAAAAATTCAAAACATTATTGAAAATATAACTAATAACAAAGTGCTAAGTCCAAATGGTGTTAATATTGAACTCTTCCAAAAAATTTAATATATCATTGAAATTAATTTTATCTTAATAGTAAATCAAACTTTAACTAATGACCAGTCTTTCAATAGTATTGTCAAAGGCCATATTACTCTCTTATACAAAGGTGATGATAAAACTATGTTTGGTAACTAAAATCCTATTACGTCACTTAATACTACCTATTTATGCTTAAATCCTTCCAAAAATATTTTAATTAGTACTTATGGAGGTAATTTGTTCTCACCAAATTATATTTTTTCTTCTAAGGTTTATCCTGCATAATATGTTTATTACTCAGGATACCATAAAATTAACTAAAATATCAAAATATTCTATTTTTTTATAAAAAAAATAATTTTTCTAAAGCACATAATAGAGTATTGTAGAACTTTGTGTTGAAAGTCTTAGAAAAACTTGATTTTAATGATTCTTTCTATCATATGATCAAAATTAACTTCCAAAGAGTAAGTATTATAGTTTCCATTAATAATAATTTTATAAAATATTTTCTAATAGAAAGAGAAAAGAAACAAGATTGTACATTAGGACCATTTTTCTATAACTTGGTTAAAAAATATTTAATATTATTATTTAGAATACAATAAAAAATCATAATCTATAGAATGTATATATATATATATATATATATATATAAATATATATGTATATATTTAGAGCCCTCATTAGTAAGTCATAAGTTAATATGGAGATGACTCTATTATTATTGTTAAAAGAAAAGATGAAAAAAAATCTATTTAATAGAAAAAAATAAAGTAATTTTAGCTTGATTTTTAGTCTTAATATTAATTGGGCTAAATGTTTTGCCTATTGGTAATTGAAAAAATCTAATGAACAAGCATAAACAAATAAATTTGAATAGATTTGGACATCCTATAGAAATATTAGTAAACTATTAGGTGCTTCTTTTGGTATTTCTTTAAACATACACGATCTATAGAACTACATCCAAATTAAACTATTGTTTGACGAAGATTATTTGTAAAATTATATCTATAATTAAAAACTTATGATGGTACACTATTTCTTTAATTTAGTCCAAAGTGACATAGTTGATTTTTTATAAGGATTGTGAAGATGGTGGTCTTAGTATCATTGATCTAAAAGAAGTTACTTAGTTATTATTGTCCAAATAAGTAGAAAAAGCCATTCAACTATGTCATACAAATATTTGATAATTTTTCCAATTTAGAATGATAAACACTAAATCAATGGCTTATAGATATCAAATCTTGTCTAGTCACTCATTTCAAATCATAAATAGAGTAGTGGGCCAAAAATCTAAAACAAAATTGAAAAGATGTGGATACAAATGTATAATTTCTTTTGGCTTAATCTTCCAATTTCTTTTTATAATGTTTAGAAGAATTTTTTTACACTAGGATTCTCAATTTTTATTAATTGATATTCGTTTATAATCCTATTAAGTTACAATCTTACATTCAAATAATCTTTATTATAATAAAAATCTTTTTAAAGAAGTATTATTTCTTTTACTATAAAAGTAATATCCACATACCAAATTCTATACCATTATGGTTCTATTTGGAACTTTTTTCATATTCACTTTTCTAATTCTTAGAAATACTTACTAGACTATAATGCTCTACTAAAATCCCACAATTGGATTGGCTTATATAAATTGGTGACAAATCATTGCCCAAAAGCCATATTCCAACTTTGTACTAAATACATAGGTATAAAAGAAAACAAATGGTTTGTCTTACCTAAACCTTCTAAAATGTTTTTTTTATTAAGTTGACATTTAATTTAGAACTCTCTACTTGGATGAAAAACTTTCTCTTAAACATGACAACTATAACTTAGTATATAATAAAAATCAATTAACAAGTTTTTTGAAAATTGTTAGAGTTGTTCTAAGAATAAAGCCAATAAGAAAAGAAGAATTTGGTATGGACTTCTACAATCTAATTAGTAAATTAACCTTCGATCTTCTATTATATTTGTTTGTTACTAGAGAAGAAATCATAATATACTTTACCAAACTTAACAAAAAATTATTTTAAAGTAATATAACTACTATTATTCTAATGATATGCAAATGGAATTTACTATTAGATCAAGACTTGTTGTTTAATTGGAATTATATTTGATCCTACTTCCATTAATGTAAAGAGACAATGTTCATTTGACTTATATAGCACAAAGATGTGATAATTTGTACTTTAAGAGAAAAGATAAATTCTAATCTTTTGTTTTGACAAATTTCTACCAAATTTTGTCAAAACAAATTGACAAAACACCCAAAACATGAAACTACCTTGATGAGAAAATAGAATAAATCATAATTGATAAAATACATATTAAGTTCTAAAGATGACAAAGCCATTAAATGTAGTATGATTTTACTCAAAAGTATAATTAAATTAGCTTTAGTAACTAGTAGTTTCTTTTGGTATTACAAGCTTTGCCTTTGGAATAAAAGAAGTTTAGTTTGTACTTTTACCACTTCAATAATACATTGGAGATACATTATTTTTGTATCAAAAAAATAAAAATAAAAAATAAGTATTAATAAATCATTAATATCATTGTTAGGATGTTTTAACAATGGACTTTATAATTCAAAGTATAATACAAGTAATAATAACACTAAGTAAAATATATATATATATATGCAAAAAATTTAAAAAATTAGTAAGATCATTCATTCTTGTTAGAAAGGTTAAAAATATTGTGATAAACAAAAAGAACCATATATTATGTTTTTGAAATCGATTAAAGTTTCATTCATTCTTTTCATCCAATAAATAAATAAATATTTATTTTTGTCTATAAACTACAATTAAATTTATTGTTAGAATGCATGACATTACAACTTTGAAAAAAAATCTTGATGCTAACTGGTATCAACGGACATCAACATAATATTTCATGGAGACAACATATTTGAAAAATCAAATAAAAAGATAGACTCTTCGTTATTCTGTTAAACATTGATTTCCAAGAAAAGACTTAAAAAGCATTCAAAAAAAGTTTCAAAGCAACACATATGGCAGCATACTATCTACATTTTTCTTAAATTCCAAAATTTATGGCCCGTCATAGACGTTGGAAGGCTCTCAAAAGCACGTCCTGTATTGAATTTAGATAAGATTCGCAAGACAAATTTCACGTACTGGGACTTTTTACAAGACTTTATAGACTAACATAATTGGAAGCAAAATACATGAAATTGACAAAGTCTTCAGGAACAATGCTCAAATCAAAAGCAACCTACTAACCAAGAGATATAATGACACCTTCCACTGAACAAGTGGGGAGTAGGAGTAAGCAATAGGAACTATTGAAAAGAACGAAAATGTCAAAAAGCATACACTAGAATCGACTAACATCCTCCCATGAAGCTCGGATTAAAATTAAATCAGAATATTCATTTCGAAGAGTCTCTGCGTACAATGGAAAGATTTCGATTTCGTTTAGTCAGGTTGTTTCCCCTTAAATAACTAGAATTAAATACGAAGCAACTTCTTCAGCTTAGTGATTTTGAAACCTTAAGTTTTAATGACTCAGGTTTTGCAGAGTGCGCAGCTATGAAATATTTTCCACATGAAGACACGATATGGAACTCGTGTCAAGAGTGTTGAACTTCGTGGTCTGATGAACCTAACCACCCAAGGGCGCAACTACAACATATCCCATTTGATTGCAATAATAGAATTCTGACTTCAGCACACTTGCTGTCATACATGTGGACCGTAGGCAACCCACAGTACATGTACACTCAGTGTAAGTGTAAATCCAGACGAGGGAGTAGGAAGAGCGTCATAGGAAGTGTTTGAAAAAATACAAAACAAAAAACTAAACAAAACTTTGATGAGCACTCCGATAACCTGCAATCAGTCGATAACCGACGTCTTCAGAATTTTCACGTCATGAATGGGCCTGCCATATCATACCATCATGACACACGTAAGAATAAAGGTAATGTTATTGAAATGAAATCCAACGTTCTATAACATTAAAATTAAAGTTGAAAATTTAAAAATAGTAAGATCGAACATCAGTAGTCAAAACAGTGCCACTGACACGACGTTCAAAACAGAGATACTAAGGTAGCCTTCAGTCGAGTGCCCCAGGCGAGAGTATGCAGAAAAATTGACTGCGTACTACTTCATCACCCACTTAATCTAATCCAAACATGTTTTTACAAATCGGATCTGTGCAGCTGACATATATCCATCTTCCTAGAAATTCAAAACCTGTTTTGAAGCTTCGGAATATGTTCTATATATCAAAACGAAGACTGATATTCAAACAGAAAAGTGTTATATTTCTTACGTTTCTATTATGCATCGTCCCTAACAAACAGACATTATGTTGATATAAAGTTACTCTCTCTTCACTCACCTGTCATGTTTGTCGGTTTCAACCATGCCAAGGCGCTTAACCACATCCATTCCCTTGCAAATCCTACCAAAGATCGTGTGTTTTGCTGCAACAGAAAACAAGTATTAATTTTTAACATAAAGCACTCTTCAGAGGCATTACCTCCTTTATATGTGCCTCAGAGTTTACGTTGAATATACGTCTTAGATAAAAGAATCTGATTCGAGTAAAAATTTCCAAAAGAAGAGTCGAAAGATGACATACAATCCAGCCAAGGTGTCGGCGCAAGAGTTATAAAAAACTGGCTGCCATTAGTGTTAGGGCCTGAGTTTGCCATAGATAGAATGCCTGCTCCAGTGTGCTTCAAGTCCCTTCTAATTTCATCCTCAAATTTTGACCTGCATTTAACCACGAAGGCACAGATACATGAGATTACATACATCTGCATTCTTTTCTACGCTTGGAATCTGTAGCTTGAGCTCCACAACAGAAGTACCATCTAAGTCCAGTATTTGATGCGCCACAAACAGAAGCACCATTTCTCTAGGGTTGCTCTAAGAAGTTTACATGCTAGCATCGCAATTCTTCATTCCAAAATAGGACGAAACTTTACAAGAGTCAGCTCCATGTTTCAAAGAACTGGGATTTAAACATTCGAGGTTCAAGTGGTTACAAAATGAAGATCAAGTCATTGACTGAATCAACGACTTTCACACGGCAATCTCTACAACACAACCTGAAACGAGTTAAAACTTGAAGCGCCAGATGGTAATAAGCAACATATATGTGATCAACAACGGATCTTTCAGAATTTTTCATAGAAACATGTACCCGTAAATTGATTCTCCACCTCTCCCAGTGCCCGTCGGATCCCCACCTTGAACCATGAAATTCTGTTAACAACCCAAAAAAAATTCAGTCCAAAAACAAAGATTTGTAAGAACGAGCAGCATGTTATAGCTCACCACAACCTTCAAAAAGCAACCAACCAGTAAGCGATCTGCAAAATACATTCCACGAACTAATACATAAACACAAACCAAGTGAATATGCTCATCTGAAACGGTGCAGGGAAAGTAGTTGGAAACAGTACGCAACCGAAGAAACCTCCTCATGACTGACCTTAATAACACGGTGGAAAAGAACATTGTTGTAGTAAGCTCTGCGTGAAAGCTCCATAAAATTCCTGCACGTCTTGGGCGCATGCTTCATGTACAGCTGCATACAGAAAAACAAAATCGTTCCTTAACTTCTGCATATTGGGGGGGTTTCTTACCCCACACTGTTCAGCGATTCGCAAGACGTGAAATCCATGGATGCTTAGAAAGAATGGCTCGTAAGTGCCTTCCTCCAGACCCACAACCATCCTAGACATTGCAACCTAAGCCAATGCCTATGAAATTTGTAAACAACCCTTACTTAAACATCAAAAACTCGCATAAATTTTTCGATAAAACCCACAGAAACCTGCGGGGATGTGGCTTGATCATCTCTGAATAATCCAGAATGTGATCGCATAACCTCCTTGTAGTTATCGACGCTCAGCTCATCGAATGAGAAGGCGACGCCAATGACGAAATCTCAGGAACCCAATTTTTATTTAAGACGGTAAAGGATCGAAGAGATACCTCGACTGTGATGTCGCCCATGGTGGTGTGGAGAACCACCTGCGGAGCCTCGAGGTCGGCCATCGCGAGTGCAACAGATCGAAAACAGCAACTCCAGAGGTCGCGAGCGGAGCAACAGACAGAATTAGGGTTACGGGTTTAAGCAGACCCTACAGCTCTTTTGCTTCTGAGGCAGTGTGAATGGGTATGCTGCCCAAGGTTGCGTATGCAGCTTCGAAGAGGACCAAAAAATAAATAATATTTTATTGCATTAATTGATTTAAAATTTTCAAATCCTACAAAAACTTTCTTCTCAATTAATACAGATAATCATGCAATCCACAATCATTGTAAAGCATGTTGGCATTGAATGAATGTTATCAAAATTAGCAAATGAACAACTACACAAATAAAAATTTGTCAAGGAATAAATAACTAATTACATAAGTGGTATTAAAATGACATAATAAGTCTTATCTTAAATATCATCAAATACGTTATTTTGAGCATACATATTTATAAAAAATAAAAAATAGGCTTATTGAAACTTCATTGTGCATACTATATTGACTATAATTAATATAATTAGAAAAATGTTAAAATAACCTACCTATTTATTTAACCAATCCACCTTGTCGTAACCATCATTAGAAAGATGGATCATCTCCATAAACCATCATTACAATCATGGCCCTCATTCCCACTTCTCTTATTCATAGCCTCTATTTCCTCCATTTTTTGCCTTCTTCATCTCAATCTCCTTCCCTTCTCCCATTACTAACTCTCATTCCAACCCCTCTCATCCTTTGTTCTCAGCTTTCTTCTTGATCCTCCTTGTTTCTCCCTGTTCTTAGTTATATGAGCCTCAATCAAATTCTTCATGAGACTTTTTTATTTTGCATAAGCTCTCAATGAAGTTTTTACAATGTACATTCAAACTTATTGGATCTAGAGGCATGAATGCTATTTGTAAGTGACAATAGTGACGAGGATTATTTTCTTAAATCATAGTGGCAAGATCAAGGAGTTAGTATAGTGGTGGTAGTTCATAAAGAATCTTGAAGGGATATGTACAAGGTACTTTAAAAAGAGCATTTTTCATTTCCGACGAGAATCCAAAGTTGTGAAGGTCATGGTTGTAAGTTGCAAACTTCATTTTTTTTCTAAAATTTTCAAGAGATTTTTGAATTTCAAAGATTTTTTATTAATCTTAGAAGGACATTTAAAGTCCTTAGGATGGTATGTCAAATGCAAGATCCTGATTAAGTTATAGTGTTGGATTTTGTAGATAGAATTTTTAATTTTCTTTGGTAGCAATGGATAGTGCAAACTTGAACTATAAATGGCTCTTAGATTGAATTAAATTCATAATGGACTAAATTCATTAAACTCAAGAAAGATCTTATAGTGTAATTAAATTATACTTAATTTTGCATTAATAAGGTGAGAAAAGGTATCTATCTAAGATTCAAGCTTAAGAGGACTCACAACATATATCAAACTTACATCCATACTACTATTTATCATGACATAATGACCTACAAACCAAATATGCAACCAAATTGTTTACTTCAAAAAATATAATTGCATAGAGCCATGATTAAAGATACTAACCTAAGGCAAACATGTTACAAAACCAAGTGAATATCCAACCCAAACCATTCTAACAAATACCATAAGAGGATCCCAAAACAAAAGAATCTCACTTAAAAACTCCACACAATATGCAAGAATCACATTTGTATCTAAAATTAGATATGGCATGCCAATTAGACTCACCTCATCATAGTATATCTTTCAAATAAAACTTTAAAATAATATACAAAAAACTACCTTCTAATACACATGTAACTTAAGCCATAAGATAACTATACTTAACCAAAAAAAAGTCCATAGCAAATCACATCCAAAAATTGAAGTCTTTTCTAATGGCAACAAAATAAAAATGATAAAATAAAATAAAAAACCAAAATAAGCCATATGATAACAATTAATGCAAAAAAAAAAAAAAAAAAAAAAAAAAAAAATGTTTGTAAGATAAATAAGCGACGCACTTGAAAAAAGAAAGGAAAAGAGGGAAGAGAGACAATGGTGTAATATGAGGTGCATCAAGCAAGTTGAGTACAAAGGAGGAGGAGGTAGAGCCCTCAAAATATTGTTGAGAAGAACTCTCAATTGAGGCTTTTATGGCTAAGAATGCAAAGAGGGGGATAGAGGGGGGAGATGAAGAAAATTATAAACATATGAAATAGGAGCTAAGAAAACAAGGACAATTGAGTTGAGAGCCATGATTGTAATGATAGTTTCTAAAGATGATCTATGTTTCAAATGATGGTAACAATAAGGTGGATCAATTTAGTAAATGGTTAGATCATTTTCATATTTTTCTATAATTAATACATAAAAATATCATCACATATACTTTAAATAAAAATCTCAAAATTTAATATTATTAATAGAAATTTATAAGTATCCATATACATATATATGTAATAATTAATAGTTTTTTTTTGTATATACTCAAACTTAAATACATTAATTAACTTATATATATATATATATATATATATATATATATATATAGTATCTATCTATCTACAAAAATCACTAATTAATTAAGGTTGTTAGAATTATTTAGAATTATAAATTTAAAGTTTTTAAAATCAATTCTATCTCACCTTGAACTATATCCATTCCTATTTTTAGCCCTATCTCTTTACTCCATATCTCCCATTACCAATCTTCCTTGTTCTTCCTTTTTCAACCTCTCCTCCCTACTCTTAGCTCTTAACCCCCATTTGAAGCTTGGTTTAACCAATTGGAATAAAAAAGATCACTAGCTTAATAAAAATGTTGTACAAATTTTAAAGATTATAATGCTTTTAATCATATGTTTTCATCTCAAAACCGTCTCTATTATATACAAATATCAATGATTTAAGGTTATTGTGATAATTAAATAATTATTTAGCTTGCTAAATAGGTTTCATTAGTTTATTAATATATTACTATACACTTTGATATATTTTATTTCTACCTCAATGATTATTTTAAATTATTTTGAATATTTTGGTGCTTGTAAAAAAACATAACATTGTTAATTATTGATGAAATAAAAGAAAAAAAATAATGTAGATGGTAATATTAAATTTATTTTTGAACAATTATTTATTTTGTATATGTATTTATATATATATATATATATATATGGAAGTTGTCTTTGTTATGACTCGAGTTCATTTAAGTACATTTCGAATTTTCAATGCATTTCTAATCAGTAATAATACAATGTTTGGCATTCGTGTCTAAGAACTACCATATTTGCTATTCGGAGAACAACAAATTTTATATCAGAACATACATCAAGATGTTCGGAATTAATCGGTAAAATTAAAACTCACCATCATATTTAATGATATCCTAAACACTGCATCTGAGTAAATAAATCAGGTTTTAGTTAGTATTGAGAGACACATAAAATGGCTGCTTGGTCATCTTATTGAACAAACTTTTTAATTAAATGAAATCTATCAACGATTCTGACAAAAAATCATAAAACAAGGCACATGACAGAGATCGCCTGACCTATTTACGAAGTGCGTAAATGTGCGATTGTTGGGAATCCATCACTTCTCATTAACCTTATAGCTTTTTTTACTCCACAAAGAATCAAAGAACTTCTGCAAACATTCCATAATCACATACTGCTTTGAAATCTAAAAGCACAATCGCAGAAACCGTAACAAAATTTCGCAATCCTACACAAAATCATTCCAAAACAAATTAATGCAAAATACTCAAATTGGACTAAGATATACATACGCCTCAACAAAATACCAATATCTTCTCCACTACAGTATGACAACAATCCTATTCCAAGACATTAAAAAAGCATCCAATTCGATGATCTTCCTTCACATGAAGACATCATACAAATACACGACACCGGATATTCAAAATTCAAGCTCTCTATTCCTCAATAAAAATAAAAAATAAAAAAACAAAGAGGATGAAGCAAAGAAGCAATGTAGAAGATAGAAAGAAGAAAAAGGAAGTATCAAGACCTGAGACTAAACAACACATTTCAGCAAAGTGCTGCCGATACTTGCTCGGAGAGGCATCATCACCTAGTCGGTGAGCCATGATTCATGAACACCACCGACACCGACACTGTTGTTGGGGCTTGGGACGTAGGCTCTAGGTCTCGGAGGTAATGGCGGCCGCGGCGTGTCTCCGCGAATGGGGAGCTGTGCCCGTAGGGGGGTCCTCAGTGCCAGTGGATCGTGCACCCGCTCCTGCAGGTGGCTCAAAAATACGTATATCTCTAATAGCTTTATTTCGCTTTTTCTCTTCGATCTGCCTCTGACAGAAGCAACACAAGCATGCCAAGAACGCTATTGTGATCACTCCACCGGCTGTCAAACCGGCGATTAAGCGAATGGGCAGGGAGTTTTTCTTTGGGCTGCAGGCTCCGCAGCAGCTGACTTTCATGTCGTGATTTTCGGGATTGGGTAGGCATATGTTGTTTTCGTCGATTATGGAGTCTGCGCAGATGGTGTACTGCCAACGCAAAAACAATAGCATAATCTAAGGAGTGTCAAAATGCATCGTTGATGAAGTCATTAGTGTAGTGAGTGAGTGAGTGAGAGGTTAGCACAAGTTGGGACAAGAGCAGATGCGCTTTTCACTTCCTGATTCTGGCATTTCGATAGCTGGTAGCGTACAAACTTGTAATGATAACAACGTAGCCTTGTGATTGAAAAGCAGCACGTGCGAGTTGAGCGAGAATGTGTCTGGGGCTTACCGGAGTGTAGCACACGCTGGGCACGTTGATCATCGTGGACGCATCGTAACCATCGGAGGTGCTAGTCGACTGGTTGTAGCGTCCAGTGACAGCGGCTGTCAGCGTGGTCGGGTCTCTGAAACCGTAGTCATTCGCAGTTTCAGTTTTGAAGATATCCACGCCGACAACACCGAGAAGCTGGTTCCCAGTCAACGCGAAAACTGGCAGTGGACGAAAGAATGTGAGTGCTATTACGCAGGGCGACAACACAATCCCTGCATGATTTACGTTGGAACAAAATATGTAGTTCACGAGACAATATTTGCTACTCGACGCACTCACCGAGACTTGGATGTTGCGTACCTGGTACGCTCAGTGTGAATGTGTTTACGTCGACTCCACTGTAATCCGAGTATTGTTCACTATAATCCTTAGATGAATTCATTATCAGCCGATGGATGTTGCCAAACCACGAAAAGTATGCCCGTAAGGCAAATAGAATATTCTTATCGAAAGCAACGTAGTTGAGATCTTCAAAATGCACTCTATCGACGGAACACTCATTCGGACTCTGGTTGCTGCCGGTGTCCAGATTGTAAATGAACAATCTTACACTCGAGTCCAACGTGATGTTCGGCGGAATGCGGACGCTGCCAGTAGTGAACATCAGTATGACCTGTCATTTACAACAATAGATCAAGGTAGACTCTTCAGAAACTTTCCACCAGCCTAGAACCACGTCATGCGAGGAAATTAGACAGCTAGAATACTGGGACATATAATCTAGCTGACAAGCCATCGGGGTTCAACCAACTCACTGCAGATCAAATATCTGGATGCAAAAAACATAATTGTAAAGTGTACAAAAATGGAAATAGAGAACCTTGAAATATTGAGGATCGTCTTTACTTAGCAGGTCGATGGCGCCATTAATTGAATTCGTAGCATTCACTTCAGTGGGATCTGTGAGAGATATCCCCAAATCTGGAGTGTACACTATATTCTTTAATTTCTCGACGGTGGAATCACCATTTGGAGTATTAGCATCCGACCCCACAACATACTGTGCATCCAGCCCACACTTGATCAACATACTTGTGCGAGCTAGGTTAGTGTACACTCTGTGTGTCGAATAGCAAGCATTACAAATCAAACTCAGATTGAACCGCAGATTCATGCATCCACTCACTCTCAATGTGCTACTCTTCTGCCCCGAGAGGATGAAAACTGCAGAAATATGCAAGTGCACAGAATACTGTTAATCCAGAATGCGCGTACTTACCGGATCCGGATTTAAGCGGTAAGATCCACTGTAGTTGAACGTCATGAAGGTTATCTTGTCCTTCCCTGATAGGGTTCTCGGAAAAGTTGAGCTCAACTTTTCCTTTACCTTGTCCAACAAAGTAAAATTTTGTGCATTGATGTTATCTGTCATCGTGGAGCCAGTATTTATCAACACAACGACAGATTTCTTTGCATGTATTGATTCACGGAACCTGCCATTTAATACACTTTAAACCTAATCAGAACAAGCAGGAAAACAGGAGCGGGTAAAAAATAAAGTTTAAAAATTAGTGGCATTTACAGGTTACAATTCACTGGATAATTAAGTACGAAACGCTGACCATGGCCTGATCCTTGGATCATAGATCTGCTCGCAAGACACTTCATCCTGCGACACAAAGAAGCTGGGGTGTCAAATCAATCTTTACTTTATCAATATCGTGTCAGATTCATCACACGAAGACGTTTGCACGAAGATCATTGAGTACGAGTGAGTACCGCTCCCGGGAAGTAGCGGAAAGAGCCATCAATAGCTCCGTAGTAAGCTTGAAAGAAATGCGTATCATTCGACATTTTCGTCATGTAATTATGCAACTTCTTCTGCGCACATATTGATTGTCTGGAACCCGGGTCATCGACGACGCGCCTGCACTCCAAAACCCCACCATTACGGTTGAACATACTCTAGACGATTTTCAGTCCTTCTAGTTCGTTGCTTAAATTTGAGTCTGAAGCTACTGATTCTGTCACTGTCATGTTCACTTCCTCACACCACGATGATGTACTCCATTGCAACATGAAAGTAACAGCAGCGACTATACCACAATGAAACGGTCAAGCGGGGAAGGGATATTTGTAAGTCTAATTGAGGACCTCACAAAACTTTGGCTGAAGTCGAAGTTCCTGTACTGGCAAGGCCCACCGCCCACTGGGCAGAAGGAGTTGTTATAAACATGATGGCATTTGTAGTCGTCCAACCTGGAAGTTCCGGAATAGCTGAAACAAGATAATCGAGAGCAGGCAGGACCCTCACCACAATTTTTTAGCGAATCTGCTCACAATCAGTTTTAAAACATGAACAAACAGCATCAGGAGCCAGTTGTGTATCATTTGACTCTAGTTCTTCACTAAACAACGACAGAATTGATGAGCTCATTGATCCAAATGATCAGAACGCCTCTTGATCGGTAATGTGATTACGAATCTTGAGTGTGCTGACGTTCACGAACTTACAGTGCTAATTTTTAAACATGGAAATCTAAACACGAGATGCTCATGTGGGTTTAAGTTTTTCAAGGTACCACAATTCTGTTGAACGGCATCGTGATTTTTCTGGACCTGCGAAACTAAGATACTGAGGTCCGTCTCCTTCTGCAGCAGCATGCTTTTCGCCCGTTCAAGCTCTGTCAAAGCGTGAACGGGACACGATATCAAAGAAAAGATGAAGAATAGAGCGACAAGGCGACCATGATCCGGCATGGTTGTGGATGTAGGTACAATTCGCAAGTATTCGAAAATCGGCGGCAAAAGACCCCGCTCCTTCTCCTCCTCCTGTCGTGAGATCAGACCCTATCAAGTTACGAGATTCTCCATTATCCTCATCAACGTCGCCATTTCTACCTGCCACCGTCGTCCCATTTCTGATTATTTTCCAACCTGAAAATGAAAACCTAGACGCGCCGATTACTTTTGCTACAACCCGCGGTCACCGCGTTTCCCTCCGGACCTTCTATCTCTCTCTCTCTCCTCCGACTTCCTCCGCAGTCCTTGTCCACTATTTGAAACAAACGAGTTAACTGGCTTCAACCAGTTCGAAGATTGCTCGCCACCAGCGGACTAGAAACTAACCACCACTTTCAAACCAGCACCGCGGCCTGACTCTGAATGTACCTAGCAACCCATCAGGCCAGCAGCAGAATCAGCAGGGTGGATCCAGAGACGCAGCGAGGTGCACGGAGCAAACCCTGCTGGTTCTCAGTGCCAACTCTAAAACCAACCGCTCCAGCTTGCACTAATTTGCACATGATTTCCAAAACTCGCCATTCACGGTGTGGATTCTTTATGCTAATATTAGAAGGCATTGACCCTGGGTGTTTCCGAGTGACTTATCTTCGACGTGTCATGAGTCTAGATGTTGATATGCCTTACCGACTTACTGCAAGTTGCGCTGCTTACTGGCCCACGGAGTTGTTGAGCACCACATAAAAAAAATGACGAATCGTCATTTGCCATTTATGTACATGTTTGTGTCATTTTCTGAAGATCTCCAGCGTAGCAGAATGAATTCGAATATTGTAGTCAGATTTTCACGTGCTCTCAGATCAATGAGCGGAGGAGCTGGAGAATGATCTAGAGATAAAGGTCGATAGAATGCTGCCTGTAAGATCTGTAGAATTTGAGCAATGTCCCCAAAATATTACTTTTACTACAGAAGGAGGAAGCTAACTCTACAAAAGAATCGTTAGGATCTTTATCTTTGAAGTTATTCTTGCTTAATTCCGCAGTGTCTGTTGCCTATTTTTATCTTTTATCTAACAAAGAATCATCAGTCTGCACAGGGATGCCGGCTAAAACCCATCCACTAAAAGGAATTGAAACATGTGTATTTTCTATAATTTTTTTTCTATGAACTATTTCTCTTCTATGATGTCTCATCCAAAGAATCTTTGAGGAAGGATTCAACTATGTTTTTTTTTAAAGAGATATAGTAGTACTGTGGAAGATTATGATGATTTCAACCAAATATCTTTCGTACTATTTGATAATATGATGTAGGTTGACCCTTTCACTATCTGTTAAAATAGATTTTTTTCTTTTAGACATTGTAAGGTAATAAAAAAAAAAGTTTATTGTCCATTTGTTGGGCCACATGGATATTCTCTAAATAAATCTCGCTAAAATTCCGTCCACTTTAACATCTCTTATCAATATGTATATATATATATATATATATATATATTCATGTAATACAAGTTAAGAATAATAAAATAACATCTATTTTCTTTTTACCTTCTATTTTTTTACTACGCAATATTACATTTGTTGTTGTATATATTATAATAAGAAGTTGTAATTTTTTCTTGACATAAAATTTAGTTTTTTTTAATGTATTACATTTTCAACTAATAGATCTTATAAATAAATTTATTATTCTGTACTGCAAATCAATATCAAGTTGCACTTCAATATTCCACACAAAACCACAGATGTTGACCCAATCACTTCTTATGCCACCAAATGCAATGACTTGGAATCTACTCTATCCAAAAGGTTATTTTCACCCACACAACTTCCACATCTCATGTTAACACTATCCACCTCCACCACTTTTTCCTTGTGGTCACGCTTTGTCAAACATCCATCAATACTACGTTCCAAGTAAGGCAAAAGTCCTCACAAAATCCACCACCATCTCATTCATCCACATCAAAAAAGTTTCCATCTTTTAAAACGACTTCAAAAACCCACTCTAAAACAACCCATATCTCATGGATTCGGATGCGAGTCCAAATATTAGAATGAGTAAAGGAAAGAGGGAGGAGAGTGATGACCCCACAAACATGGTGGTGACGGTAGTGTTGCCAAAGTCAAACAGGCCGCCGAGTCCACGGAGGAGGAGGGGAGCATATGAGCGCTACCGAAACGCCTCAATGTCTCCCAAAACTCGGCGCTTATTTCGCAATCCCAGCTGTCTGTCGGAGGTGGGGAGGAACCCACATCGCTCAAGCATCTCTTGAGGTCGGAGCTTACAGTACTCTCATTTCTTCCCTTGACCGAGCTTCACAGTTTCCGGTGAGTTACTTGCAGCTTTAGTTGGAACTCTACTTTTGGTCTTTATCATCCTTTTCCTAGTCAGAATGGGGTTTTTTTTGTTATTCATTTGTTTCGGTGTGTTGCGAGTCACCCCATGGACATGACACGGTTCCTCACGGTGTTTGTCGATTAGTGTGTGATTGTTGGTTGTTGAGCTCTCGGTTGTTTGTTTAGATTCCTGGTACCAGAGGTATCTCTCGTGTGTAGATTTCAGTATCGTTTGCTGCCGGTATTAAGATTTCGTGCAGTGGTGGTGGAGGTGAGGGCGTGTTTGGATTGTCGGTGGTGCTTCGAGAATAGTGGACATTGTGTCAGTGGTCGTCACTGTCAAAACGTAGTTATTTACTTGCTTCAGTTGTAGCTATTTTGCGTGACTTTTAGAGGATTGTGGGTGTGCGGTGGCGGTGGCGGTTCGAATGCTGTACATTGTGGAAAAAGTGTCGGTAGAGTTGGGAGAAGACTGCCGGTATTGTGCTGGGTTCAATTAGCATCGAGGTGTTTGAGACATGATGATGTGGTAATATTTCTATGAAATGAATTTCTGTATAGATCAACCTGCGAGGCGACACTGCGTTGAAAAGCAGACTGAGCTTGTATTAAGTGTCCCTTTCTGTTGATGAATCTTGGCGTGATAAGGTACGTTCAGATAAATTTAATACACCTTTTTCACTTCGTTGTTGTGCAAAATGATTCTTCGTAATGGTGCTGTTCAGATAGTACTTATCCTCGTGTCTTGTCACATAGAACCCAAAATCCATATAGTCAAATTACGCATTTAAGAATCTCTTCAGATAACTCTGTAGATTGGTGACGCACTTTCAATATGGGTATCGACGCTCATTGCAGAATCCATAGCAAATCTTAGCCATTCACAGCTAGTTATCTTGATACACTTCTCTTAGCTTTCAGAATCTGCCGTCTGTGAGAAGATTCACAGTACCGACAATATTGCCTTCCCTCGGATCTATTGTGCGTTAGTGGCGGGTGAAAAACTTTTGTGTAAATTCGAGTTGCAACTAGTTCCTGCAATGCTGGTTTTAAACAAATAATAAGGATGTCGAAAGCTTCAGACTTCCCAAAGTCTAGTGGATTGTGTTCCACTGTGTACACTCCTGCGCATCAAACGTTTAGTCGTGAACTAACTAGTGTTCCCGTTTGTTCCAAGTCTTGAGAGCGGTTTCGTCTATGGGTACATTGCAGAGTTGTGGAATTGCGCGTTGTGGTAAGTTTACTCTGCTTGCCTATGGGTGACATTCTTTGATTTCGTCGAGAGTTGCAGTGATGCCAAAGATGCAGCTGGAGAAACTTTGGAAATGGAATTGCAATGAGTCACTTGACGATTGATACAACCTTCGAAAAGGCAAGCACATCAAGCGCCTCGCAGAATTTTAATTTATATGTGCTTGATTTAGGTCATCCTGATCTCAACGTCGTTTGTTTGTTTGTTTGTTTGTTTGTTTGTTTTCGCTTGTACTGACGTGCGACGTTTCTTACAGTGGTCTTGGTGAATCGAATAAAACTTAGTGTGTCACGAACATGGAGGCACAATACATACCCCCCAGTGAGCCTCAATTTAGGAGGCGCCCAAATTCCAATCCTCGGGACCCCGCAGCAGTCGTTCAGCAGCAAGGACCTCAAGTAGTTCTGAATCAACAACCTCACCCCCGCAAAACCAATCGTGCTGATCCGCGTTACCATGGTGACGTCCAGCAATATGCACCTACTGGACATGGCTATGGTGGGTATCAAGGGCAGGTTCAAGAACCCGGCCGCGTCCGACCCACACAACCCGGCAAGAGATTGAAAAACAAAAATCCGAATTTGACTCCACCAGCAGGTGTGAATCATAAAGAAACAAAGAAAACCAAGCAATCCAGCGAATTCCCTGGAAACCCTACAGATGAGATACTGGTTGGCTCTCCTACTGCAGTCAGCCATGCGCTGGTAGATCACTATGGTAACTACAATGCAAGTGGTCGGAGTGATGGATATGGGAGTGCGCTATCTCGGTTAAGTCAAGACGGGAGTCTGCATGGTCAATCTCAAGTCTCAGACCACGACTCAAGTGGTAGTGGCCGGACTCATGAAAGAGGAAGCAATCGTGCAGGCGATCAAAGACTCCCAACTGGTACATCCCGTCTAAATCCAAGTGTAGCGAGCAATGGCGGTAGCCACCGTTTAACAGCAAACGTCTTACGATCGCTAGATAACAACCAACCGCAAATTGCTCCTCTTAACATCAACTCTACCACGAATGATCCTACACATGCTGAGGACTTCAGCATGATTGTTTACCCTGGTGAGAAACAAGATATGGAAACACAAATCTTCGACGTTCCACGAGGCTCGAATCGACCAGCGATTACAGAGGGACCAATTTATCGACGCCAAGGGGAGCATCCGCATCCCCAACAACGGAGATTTATAGGGAATCGCCATCCTCCTCAACCAGCCCCACAAGGGCCACATGCCCAGAGTCCCCTGCATCATCAACAGCAGCAGCAGCCGACGCAACCACCGTCAATTTACACCCCGGGTCAGGTTCTGGTACAGTACGTCCCCGACGTAAAGACGATGCCGGAGCCGAATGCGAAGTGCATCGCGTGCGTGCACACCGTCGGAGTACCCATTGCGAGACTCGGCACGCGAATTCTGTGTCGGAGTGCCAAAGGTGGCTGCGCTTTCGTGGGCTGTACAATTCTGTAAGCCCGCGGCGTCGCCATGCCTAGTTCGTTTGTGCAGCGCCACCCGCATTCGCAATTCGCCGTTGTACCGCCGCGGATACGAACTCTGCCCGCTGGTTTACGAGCTTGGTCACCAGGGGTAGCAGATATTTGACATTCGTATTTCAAGCATAACCAAAAGAGAAATAAAAGAAGCAAGGAAGAAGAAACTGTCAAAATTCTCCCTTGCAAAATAGATTTTGTATAATTGCATTTAGTTAATTTTACAGGCTGGAGTTTTTAGATATCTTTGTAAGATAAGGTTTGTAATGTACATGAGTTTCTTTTCTACTCGAATGGTTCTGAATTGAATTTGAACTGTTTTTTGGCTATATTGGTTAATTAGGAAGATTGGTTTGTTTTCATTTGAAAAATATTTCATATATATATATATATATATATGTATATATTTATATATTTTTAAACTTCTCTTTTTACATATATTTTTAAGATCAGCATTAATCTTTGCTAGAAAGCAAAACATGCACAGTGACTGGTTGCGGGAAACCAGAGTTCATATCCCCTGCAAGTTTTGGTGAAATCATGCACAGTTCGTTCCATTCCGGCACACAAACGCTTTGCCCACTTCAGCTTTTAATGTGGAAAAAAGCAGGCACCACCCACAGTTTATGAATGCAACGGTGACGATCAAAACAATTTACTCTTGTTTTGTAAATCACTGTGTAACAATGCACCTTGTGTGCAGGTGCCAACTCGTCAATACCTCTATGGACAACTAATGTTTTCTAGGATCAAATCACTCTACCCTAATGGCAATCTAACCTTTATAGCTTTACATGGTTGGGTTAGTTGTGGGTGGATATGGAGCATCACCACCAGTGGTTGGGTTGATGGGATGGTTCGGAGCCGGGCCACCGTAGGTTGGGTTGTGAGCACCAGTTGGTTGCTGAGCAGCAGCAGGCTTCTTCAATCCTGGAAGATTGCTGGTCATTCCAGCCCATGGAGCTTTGAGGCCACCATTGGGATCAATCTCTCCAATGTGCTGCAGCGCCAATTGCATGTTTCGCACACCTTTGTCGTAGTTCACGAACCCCATGAACCAGAAATCGTGGCCATCTTGTGTCGCAACTTGAATATATTTCTCTGCAGGCTTGCTTTCGTTGAAGGATGGAATCACCTCCTTCACCTTTGCCAGAGGCACGACCATCTGAACAGAAAATGATAAACTTTCAGTTCCTTGAAAAGTAAACAAGGGTTGACAGCATTTCGTCAAGTCAACAGGTAGGTAGTGCAGCAAGTAAAACAATTACATTCAGGATATTCGAATCAACTATTCATTTGAGATTACAGATTGAGTTTGCTAACCTTGTAATAACTCCAGGCTTGCTGACCGGGAGTGGGTGCGTATGATAGAGGTCGATCGCTGCAGAATGAGAACTTCAAGTTGGAAACATACAGAGTGCCCGCTACGGGGCCCGTGGAAGTGGATAGGTAACAAGCGTATGTCTTGCGGAGCTGCTCCCCCTCATCCATTCCGAAGGTTTGCTTGTATATTCCTTCGAAACCACCTTCTGTTACCAGCTTAATACCTTGACTCACTTTTCCCCGGGCGGCGTCTGTGACAGACGGACCGGTTTTCACTGCAATTCCACAAAATCCGCCAGAGTAATTAGTAACCTAATACAAGATGGACGATTCATGGAAAACGTGACTAATATAAATAACCTGCTACGCAGATTAGAACACACATCGCGTCGTTTACATCTTCCTAGTCTATTTCGGTTAAATGTAACCTACTGTGGCTCCAAACGTTTCCTGCAATTATTTCCGCCTTGGAATAATACTTGTTAAAGTTCTCCATGATCGTGTTCATAGGACCTGGAAATAAGAAAAAAATAAAGGTCAAAACGAGTGATCACAAACGGCCGTGTTATACACAAATTCATACAATCCATCTATCACATTCACCGATGAATTTAACCTGCATGCAAACTGAAGATTCAAAGATCGACTCTGCTGAAGCAAATAATAAGATCACAGCTCACTGAGATCTACTCCACATATATAATGTATAAACAATGATTTCGAAACAGAATAAAAATAAAAAAATAAAAAGAAAAAAAATTAACAATTCAATGATTTGTGGCAACTCACTAGTTCCTGTAGCGGGAACTTCTTCCGTCTTGACATATGGGCTTCCGGGTGCAGCTCCCACAGGAGTAGGGCCAGCAGCGGCAGGCTGTGCGGGAGGTGGGGCAGGAGTTGTCTGGTGCTTGTGTCCACCTAAGAAACCTTTATCAGTTTTGGCTGCAGTTGATGGATCATAAGCACCACTGGGCTGTCTTCGCAATCCTCCGCCACCGCCGCCCAATGTGGCCTTGTCAAATGACCCACTAGGTTGTCTGCCCAAACCTCCAAGTCCACCAGGAGCAGGGCCACGAGGAGCAGGATCACTTGTGTGCACTGGGGCCTGAGGAACGGACGCAACACCTGTAGTTTGGGTAGCAGCAGTTTTATTATCAGGGTGAGCATCTGGCTCGGATGGTTCTCCCATCGGAGGAGCTCCGAAACTGCTAGGAGTGCTAGAAGCTTGCTGCTGAGGAGGCCGCCTCACGCTGGCACTGCGATCCTCAGGTGGTGAAGTAAACAATGGCTCATCGTCTTGAGTGTGAATGTCGTTGTGTGCGGGGGTTGGCCCTTGGTTAGCGGGATAACCGTGATCCATCGTGAATGTCCTCTAATTTATCAGATGCCTGCACAATAAACACAATCAGAACGAATGAATTGTCTACATACCATGGTTCGAGGTGCACATCATGTAATCGATCTTATTCGGAGAAGTTTATCAAATATGAACAAGAAGCGGCTCTGTCGCAAACTCCATAGTTTTTGTGCAGAGAAAAAGCATTTCAAACAGAATATTCGTTGTCTACTCTCACGATGTGAGAAAGGGCTGCAGAATATACCAAAAATAAATAAAATAAAATAAAAAACACTACAGAAATCTGTGCCCAGTCTAACGCCAGGAACATTCTTGCGATTTGATGTCATGTGCTACCGCGCTATCCTATGTTTGTGTCGAGCACCATATCCACACGACGATGGAGAAAAAACACAAACAGCAACCAAGGAAGGCAAATTCCAGTAAAGCATCTCTAAATTCACGCCACACCAGACACAAACACCATCCAGCTCAATCAAACAGAAACACCCAATCCATCAAGGACGGCACCACCCAACCCGTGGGAAGAAAGCACACACAACTCCAAACTTCTTCTCATCACCCAACACGACCTACGGCAAAACAGTTTCCCACTGAGCTCAAAATCCCACTACGACCCACAAAAACACTTACCCAACAAGACAGCAGTGCCAAACACTACACGGCTTCCCAAACGCCGATTGTAAAACTCTTCACGAAACAGAAGCAGAAAAACCACTTGAAATCCGGTGCAGATTTGAGATGATGTTGACGAAGAAACTGAGTGTGAAGAGTGAGAATTGGGATAGAAAGAATGGTAGAGAAAGCAGCGAGAGGAGGCACATATACCGCAGGAGGGGTTGAGGACGGTGAATGCAGACAGATGAAAGGCTGGCTTGAGATCCACTCTGCGAGGTATGAGCCATACAAGGGAAGTGGCACCGACGAAGAAGGGGCCACGACGACGACAAACAACGACGAAACACGACGACGACGACGACGGTGCACCCCCCCGTTTCACAACGCACCGGTGCATGCCGCGTGGATTACACGTGGCATCCATTTCGGCCGAGCTCCATATTTGTACTTTTGTGTCGGACTAGGCCATTAGCCTAGTCTCCGTCGTCAGCAAACGAACGAACGAATGAAGGGGCGATTGAACGAACGAGCTCGTGGACTCTAACGAATGAAAGAACGAACTAATGAACGCACTAAGGAATGAACGAAAGAATCTGCGTGGGGGTTCGTTGAACTCGTCTTCGTCCATGTGTTCGTCTGTTTCGCCGTCCGTTCGTTGCCATGCTGGATCCTGCCACCCGCGCTCAATTGGTGAGAGCCCGTGCTTATCGTAATGTCAAAGCTTGTTGACCCTGTCACCACCCACGCTCTTGCTCGTTGAACTTCCCTGGAACCTTCTCAAAGGAGGCTGTATTGTTTCTTCATAGTGAAATAAATATAAAACTGTTTGTTTTGGTGTTCATGAATTTTGAATATCTAGTGGTTCAAAAGCTTTTGATGGTTAAATTTTTGTGTGGTAAAGAGTAACTACCTGTTTACATGACTCAAAAAAAATCTGATATGTTTTTTCTTAAAAAATTAATAGAAATGAATGTGATGCGAATGATGTTTTTAGAGGGTACAAAGGTTTGATGAATGTGTTTTTAGCTTTAGTTCCGTTGGTACCGTCTTTGTATCGAAAATTCGTTGCAAACTTATATGCGTTTTTTATTAATTAACATTGCTTCCTTTTTATTATTAAGTTTCCCGTATGGTTACAATAATTCTCAAACATGTTTACACCCTATTAGAAAATGTTATATGGGTTGGTATTGTTAGAGTGTAAAATAGAATTATCTGCGTAATTTAAAGCAAATTAAAATTTAATTAATACATAGATGAATTGCCTTTGAATTAAGTTCATAATAATTCTTTCCAGTTAGTTTCCGAAAAGTTATGAAGCAAAGATAAGCATACTTATCTTCGACTTGTACACTTTTAGCTGGATAAATTAAATTGAAATCACATTCAGAAATTTTCATATAGTATCTCTATTAGTTGATTAAGCCTAACCATCTATTGTAGACTTAATGATTCTTTTTCTGTACTGTCCAAAGGTGAAAACCACCAAGATAGTTTGAGAGTTGATAAACATTACTTTGATTAGAATCATTCAATGCTGGATTAAATACCAACTTTACCAAATACATCACTAACTCATTGCTTTTCAACCACTAGGTAATTCAGAAACATTTCAAACAAGAATACAGAACAAAGCACATGATAATTTGCGATAATCAAATCAAACCGAACTAGATTGCCAGCATGACGCAAACTGATCTTTGCTTGATACTTATCTAATAAGATAGAACATTGCAAAGGTGGTGTCATGAAACAGTGAATGAACATATCGATTGTTGCGTTCTTTGAAAGATAGTCACACAATGCTTAAGGATGTGGTTTCATTTGAGCCTCAACAGGGATCCACAATCTATTAAGTTGATTCTGCACATTAAAGACAAGCTTTACTATAAACAGAAATGGTGAAGATCTGCTCCATCCGCCATTAAGCACTGATGCTATACAAAGACTGAGCTGCTGATTGCCGATTCTTCACCCGGACGAAGCAGAGACTCATGTTGTGCAAAAGACAGCTCGCTGTTTAATTCTCAGCCGGCTGCCACCACCCCACACCAATTAAAGTTAGAAGCAAATCAAAATTTGAACCTGTACTTGTTTCAGGATGTTGTGACAAATGAAAGAAATACTCAACCGCCAATCTCATGTGGTTGACGATAGTACGAAGAGGTTGTGACTCCACAGCAGATCATTAGTATTAACGGATTTGCCGATCTGTAGATAAGCAGATCCATGTGTAACATCCGACAAATATGAAACAAATAAGAACGGATCAAATGGTGCGGAGAGAAACTTGGAAGCTTACCACTACAAGTGGGGCGTAAGGGTTTTCGTTGCTGCTGTGAAGAAATTCGGGAAGGGACCCTTCTTCGGCGTCGTATTTCAACTTGCTTGAGAAGTACAATACGACGGTGACAAGTAGAACGTAGACTAGGAAGACAAGATACAGAACGGCGAAGATGACTGCCAAAACGTACACTGCCCAACGCGGCAACTTGCCACTATCGAAGTAACTTGCTCCAATGAAGGTAGAGAGTCTAGAGAGTAATCCGCCGACGAGGATAGTCAGAGCAAAGAGAGTTAACGCGGGCAGAAATTTTTCCTGGACAAGCTTTGCGCTTTTCTTCAACGCTGAAAGACCATAGTGGGCAGGCTCCAAAACTGCTACTTCTTGCGACAACAGGAATATGAATCCCAGGATAGTGAGGGAGACAGAAAGGAACACTTGTTGAAGGAGTGCCAAGATAGGTGCCTGCTTGAAGACCAAAGCTAGCAGGTAGAATGGAAGCGAAACAGTGATAATCGTAGCAAGAGTGAGCAAGAGGACCCAGATAGATGTCACAAAGAGCCGGAAGAGAGCTCCCGGAAGAGAACTGAAGATGGACTTGATCACGGAAGGATTCTCTTCCTGCTCAGCGTATATATATTCCACTGCTTTGCAGATGGATGCAACAGCCAGGCTCGCAAGCAGCCACATCAAGATACCTACAGCGAACATTATCAAGATGGTCCGCCCTGTTACGGGAGGGGGTGGCGGAGGGTTGTAGCCATCCAATCCTACGCTAATCTGCACGTTCCGAACAATGAGTTAGAATCTCTATCCCCTGACTTGGTTCACGCCTCGCGTTCTGAACAAGCAGCTTCCGAGCAAGTTTCACACTTGAGTCAACAGTGTGAAGTCAGCACAGTTGCTATTACTTAGCAGGGTTCACAGCGATCATAGTTGCAGGGTTTTTCGAACAGTCCAATCTGGAACGCAAAAGTTACCTTCCAAACTGGACGTTATTCCGGTTTCCTCTAACGTGAATTAATGAGCATGCAGCCGATTCGTAATACAGCATTACTCACTAATGCTGACCAACTTCACCCCTGCTACTTTAAAACCCCAGGAAAGAAACTTAAACGACGATGGATTGCAAGGGGCACTAAATCTGAACAAGAAAGACCACAGGATTCCACAAACTTCGCACTCTGAACCCTTGCATCGTACATCGTTTGTGCTTGCCACAAGAGTTGAACTACACCGCATCAAAATTTCGGAGATTTTCTCAAGATACAATCAAGGGAAGAAAGCAGCAATACCTTAGAGGCAAAACTATGCGGGTGTGGGCCGGGTGGAATAAACGGACTCTGCCCAGACGCCCACCACGCCAGGCCGAAGAGCTCCAGGAGCTGAATCAGCGCAGTAGGGAGAAGAAAGGCAAAAATGAAAGGGGATAGGAGACCGATATACCGGCCGAACAGCCTGCCGCCCTCCCTGAAAATCGCCGGCACGCCCCATCCTCCCAACCCATAAGGATAACCCTCCACCATCTTCGTGCAAAACTTGAACGCGATCTACTATTCCAACAAATCATCGTTAAATAATGCTAAAACCTCTCACCAGCAACAAACCAAAAAAAAACCCACCACGCAAGGCTCACGAAACAGCATCTGCTGACCCAGAACTTCAACACACCCACCTGCTTTCGCCTCACTAGCAGTGCTTCGAAGGTGTCGGCAAGTGAATTTCAGAACAAAGCAAGCGTCGACAAAGTCTGAAAGGCACACACACTCTACAACGAAGAGTGGGGCTCTGTATACGAAGAGAACGCAGATCTCGCATGGGCCCTATTGAAAGCGCCTCTTGGGTGCCACCTGGCGGCGTGCCAGCTCATAACTTTACCACTAGGCTTATCCCACGTCATCATTCCAGATCATCGTTTCCCCCGCTTTGAACTTGTCCGACTGTACCAACGCTTTGGGTTCCGGTTAAAATCACCGGATTAGCCGGTCACTTTCTCCGGAGTCGCCTTGAGACTGCCACGTTAACCCATGCCTTCGTGGCATGCCGCTCATGGTCATCATCAGAAGCTGCCAAGAAGGAGATGAGTGATGGCCATGGCCATGGATAGCTTTTACTTTAAAGCAAAAGTAGGAGAGTGATCGACGCCAGGAGCTCGTCGAAGCTTGTTTCTCCGGAAGCAGCAACTTCGAACATCTCTTGAGAGATGTGATCAACCCACCAGGTGAATTCAAGACGCACGAAAGATTTTCGAAGATGGGTTGTTGTTATTCTGGCCTCGAACGCGCTAGAGTGATGGTTTTATCCGGGAGAGTTTGTGGATTTCGGGGAGTTCATGGAGAACCAGTTAGGGCTTTGAAGGGAAGAAGTTCACTGGGTTGGGTTGGAGCTGTTCGTGGGAGGAAGGGTGCTGTTCGCGGCAGGAAGTCGTTTGGATTCACAGCTTGTAAGTTATGTGAAGCGTGCGCGGAATGTGGTGAGGATTGGTCCAAAGGCTGGAGAAGCCTTGGGTGGAGCGTGTGGGTTTTAGCTGCAAAGAGCGGATGGTTTTAGAGGAGGACTAGCATGTGATGGCAAAAAGGGTGTGACATGGCTGATTGGGCGCGATTTTCGTTCAAGCAGGCCACCGTGGTCATTTGTGCTTGCAATTTGATGGTGGCGGTATGCATTTCTCAGTGTTTGCTCCTGTCCTACTACGTGCCTGCCATGAAGTTACCTCTCATGTACACTCGCCAAGCTGATGGTAGGAAAGCTAATTCTTGCGCAGCAGCGTCTTATTCTACTTTTAGGTGCAGTCTTTTCTTTTCATGGTGAGAGCCCCATTGTAAAGCTTGGAGTCTCTTTTGGCGTTGATCTGCAGTGCTCTCCGTTGACGTTGAAGTAATTTGGGCTGTATGTGTCCTTTGCACTTCAAACTCCAGATGAGATAGTTGTAGGGAATTTGAAAGAGTGTTGGCAGTTTTCTTGTCTACATATTTCTGATGGAATAGCTTGAGCTCGGTGACGAAGCTCGGTTTCATGTAATTTGGGGGAACTGATACTGAGGGCTTTGCTGTTGATGGTTTATGTAGTTTCGCAATTTGAGGGGCTGTAGGTTTTAGGTACCCATCTTCCAACCACTCTGAACGCGCAGGAGCGGCTGGAGGTAGTTCGAGATGCGATTTAGACACGACTTGCGGCAAATCCTGTTTTACTAATTGCGAGAGTAAGCCTGTGAAACTATTTAAATGCCTAACAGCTTCCTTATGCTTGTTGCATGTCACTATTAGAGAGAGGTTTCCTGGCGCATTAGGGTAAGACACCGCCGTCTGTTCCTTCTAGTTATTTCGTGATGTTCATCATAACTCTTGAGCGTTTGGTGATGAGGTGCTTGGTTTCATCTTACTCTCATGCTTACTGATAAATTAACAGTACTTCAGATTTCTGAACTTTGGCTTCGGTTGATACAAGAGAACTATAGTTGTCATCAAAGAGTTTTTTTTAACTGCTGTAAAAGTGTAAAAGACCATGGTCATCGATTGATGTGACCCTATTCAGGTGAAAGAAATAGAACAAGAGGCTTTATCAGCGTTGGTGATTGCCAGTGATAAGACATCACAGAGGCAACAAACTGAGATTTCCAAACGCATCACTGGACTTAGGTTCCAAGGTACACCCTGTGAAATACCTTCCTATGTTAAGTCTCGTATCTGTTCCTTTCGGGGTGCCTGGTTTGAAATCTTCATTTGTTCTTTCAGTTTGAAATTCAACTCATAGGACACAACCAAAATTTGTTGAGAAATCAGAGGAGCTCGTATATGCCAAGTTTTTTGGCGAGTTATGAATGAAAAGTCGTTGAAGAGGCATTGTTTCTGGGCGATCGACAGCAAATCTCACATTTTGTTGGTTTGTGTGTTGCGCAGGATTAGACAAATAGAGGAAGATTAAGCTTAAGTATGCACAGAGCCGCGAAGCAGCTTTACTGGAGACTGAATGGACCTCGCAAGTAAAAGGTGCTCTTAAAAAAACATCATATTGCTGCCAATTTGATTAACTAGCTTAAGTTCATGGGTTCTAAATTATACACAAATGGCTGTTTAATGTTTTAATGCCCCTGTGTTATTTGTAAAAAATTCCAAATTGGGATTATACCGTATCAAAGCGGTGCTATACTGAAATGACTGAGAAGTTACATGAGTTCATTTGTAGTTTGTTGCATCGGTAGGCTTGTATATGTAGATTTAGGAGCACACGCTTCTCCTGCAGTAGTTTTTTTGAGGAGTTGCTGTGCATCCATTTGGTAATGATTGGGTTAGGAGTCAGAACCTGTTTGATCAAGGCACTTCAAGCTTGAATTGACATTCATGTAGACAATGTTACTCCGGAGGCAGAGTTGATGCCTGATGAGGTGGTTAACGTTCTAGACCAAAGTAAAGGCAGTGGAAAGGTGCAAGATGGACCGGAGATCGGTAAGCTATTTTTTGTAGATCGAACCCTGGGGTATGTTTGAAATTGCGCTAGATTCTTCAGTTGAATTGATCATAATTTTGTCCACAAGACATGATTTAATTGGCGAAGAGTGATTGATTCTTGTTGATTTCATGCTTAAGTGGTGTACGATGTGATTTTCTCTTTGTGAAAAGTATTAGCTACACATATTAGTTATGCTTGTGTTGTGTTTTACTCATCGTTTGTTTATTGGAGGGGCAGAAGATGGAATTATTCCTGGAAGACCTGTACCTGAAGTATCCCACGTAGAGGCGCACACAGACTATGGTCGGTACGCTGGGGTCTGACTCGTCATGTGGAAAGTGCAGCAGATTGCTGTGAAGTATGCCTGAAGCAAGTCCGGGCAGCCAAAAGCAATGAGAAAAAGTGCAATGTATGGGTGTTCTGCCCAGCTGAGGGGGGGCTGCTTCTCTCCTGATGTTTATGAGCACAAGCACCAGGAATGCTGGCTTAAGCATGCAAATAACAGGCTTGTTGGTTTCGTCTGGCAGATTTGTTCATTGATTCGTCCCAGTGACATATTCTCGCACTTATATCGCTCTTTGTATGACGAAGATCTGAGCCATTTTATGTCATTTTGTATGCAGGCAGATGAGCCTAATTTAAACTTCAAAGTTCATTATGATGAAGAATACAGGCGAGAGCATCCCACTGCTCCTGTGACAGTGCCTTGGGTTTCTGGAATAATTCAAGCGTAACATTTACGTTCTCGAATTTCAACACGAATTGCTATTCCCTGGGCAAACATTTTTCAATTTCTGGACAAAGACGAGGGATATGTAAGCACGTAATGCACGCGACAGAATCTGTGGAATTAGAGTAGGTCTGAGTGTTCACTCAGGTTCAAGCTGTTCCAGAAAGAGTTACAAGAACCAGGAACGTTGTAGGCATTTACTCTTTCACGGCTGTTGCTTCTTTTCAATTTTGTCTCCACACTAGAGGCCATGTGTTTAACTATCCTCTTCCTGTGAAGTCTACAGGGATGTTTTGGTTTTAACATGGGTAGTTGCTAGGTTCCTGCTTCTGGAGAAACGAATTTTCTTACGAGGATTGTTTGTGAGCTTAGATCCAGAAACATACTGGTCCTCAAATGTAAAGATATTTGGCACCCTGATGCATCCGATGACCTATCCATCATCTACATTTTTTTGGAGTAGGTCATCATGCATAGCCTTGGTTAATGACATTCGCTACTTAAGCAATCAGCGGACCCCATTTTTCACTACATTTATAGGATATCGTCACTGTTCACGACAATCATTTAAGCACCGTTCTGTCTTCAGAAAGTTTTTCCTTGGCCTCGCTATTTTGTTATCAAGTCATGCACTTCAAGCAACTAAGATGCAGAAGAAAAAATGAATCTACTGAGCGTATTTAAAATACAACCTAATCTAGTATATTGAGGAAGAAAATGTTTACTTGTAAACTAAATTCATTACTCGAAATGTTATATATGTATGTATGTATATATATATATATATATATATGTATATATTGAGATGTATTATTTACATTCTGTGCACAGTAACATCAATAATTATCAATCAATTTATAGATTTATTAAAAAGTTCTGATAGTAGTGAATTACGAAAACGTTGCATGCAAATAACTTGGCACTTTATTTTAGTTTGACTCATGTATGCTTGTACATATTCTTGAAAATAAATTGTGCATTATTTACATACTTTGATGGATTATAATATTCATCTTAGTGTAATGATACATGAGTTACTTGGCTTGGTAAAAGTATGATTGGTTATTGTGACATGTTCTAGCTAGGCGTGCACCGACCATCTTTTTGCAATAAAACTTGAAATTTTGACCGTGATGAATATCTTTATCTCACACAAGAAACTGCCTTCCCTCTTTTTACAAAAAAACTGACATCTTCAATTCGATGAACATCTCTAGGAATCAATACTAGGAATCAGACTTTGTAAAAAGTCGCAACAGCTTTCAAGCTTCTTTATTTGTTTATTTTACTTTTGCATGTGAAGGTCAAATTTTTTTATCCAAATTTTTAAATAAAAAATTTCGACCTTATATTAAAATAAAATGTCTCGGCAGCGTTTGTTAAAAAAATACGTCAATAATTTGCATGTCATACAGATGTTAGTTCAAAAATACGTATTTTTTAAATTTATTTTAAACCAAAAAAATCCAGTGTTGTAAAATAAGAATAAAGACGATTTATTTTTAAAGTAAGTAATAAACACGTGATGTACAACAAAAGTAGAACAAGCATTTGCAGGTTTCTTTTAGTTTGACTTCAAATGTAATGAAAAAGAAACATCTGTTATTTACACTGCGACTTAAAATTCAACAGTTTTGTGATAACATCCAAGATTACCAAATCTAATACTTCTCCTCTGATACCAATTTTCATTCTGTTTCATGACTATTGATATATAAACTGTGTGTCTAAGAGATGAATGAAAAGAATTAAATTTAAACATCCCAAAACCATGAGACCGTTGAAAAATCTTGGTTCCATTATTAAAGCCATTTAAACAATAAACAACTCATAAAATTTCAGAAAAACAACTCAAGTTTAATCCTTTTTTATTTTGTTTTGTTGTTTAAAGATTTGGAGTGCAGTTTCTTTTATTTGGGCTCATACTCACAACTCAACACACAATAAACCCACACTTCCTTCAAATCAAAAACTTCATTTTCAGTTGCTTCCAATGGCATTGCTCTACACAACACTAAAAACCCTAACTAAAAAATGTTTTTTCAGGGATAATGTTTAGGATTCTCAAGAAAATGAAAAATGAAAAGGAAAATTGCAAGAAACCATCAAACATGCATTAGATAAGCTCCACGATAGGGGTTTCAAACACAACACTTTTGCCAAAACCAAATAACTAGGTTTTAGCACCTCATATTTTCAAGATCACTCAAAATATCAAATCCAAAATATCACCATTCAATCTTTATTACCCCTTGATATTACCCCTGATTCATACTTTATAATCCCTTGGTATGGAGTCAAAGAGGGAAGAGAGCTGAGGCAAGAGATGAGGTTTTTGATATTTGACCCTCCTCTCTATTGATATTTCGATTTCAAAATCACCAACCTTGCGAGGTGGGTGATTTGGTGGAGTATCAAATGATGTTTTGAAATATCATGGGATACTTCAAACTTGCATCATAGGTGAAACATTACCCAAAAATGCCATGTTTAAAACTCCCTATTAAAGTAATTTTGTCCTCACTAGACCCCTTGGCAAAGTGAGCTCATTCTCTCCCAAACTACCTAAAGATAAAAGCATCATTTGAAACGAGCGTTCACACCTCCCAAGCTGTTTTCTGAAGCGGACCAAGATAGAGGAATGAAGACATGAACAAATGAAACATCCGAAGGCTGAAAATCTATTCATCCGAAGACGCCGCCGCCGCAGCAGCGTCGTCATGAACCTCGTGAGCGAAGGTGTGTCGTTCATCGCCGTGGGACCGTGACGATCTGAGCCACGATGCAGTGAGGCGGGGAATTCATGGATGGTGTTTCGTGCATGGACACGGAGAAGGCCAAAAATTCAGTGCGAAAGTTGGGTACCGGCAGGAATGTTGACGCAGGCTATGAATGCCGAAGCTACGATGCTTCGTCGCTTCTCGTAGAGTAGAATCCAAGCTTGTTTTGCGTGTTCATGGCGACGAGATCAGGCCTTTGCGCCACAACACAGACGCTCATTGCGTTGCGACGCCTTCGGAGGACGCTTTGGGAGAGTGCAGCGTTTCGACAAGCTGGGTCGCGGCGGCGAGCGGAACGTGACCGTCAAACAGGGACGGAAGATGAGGATGTGGCTATGATGACTAGCCGGAACGCGTGATTTGGGCGATTCTTTCTCCGTCCGTTGTCAAAATACCCACAACACCTACTTTCTGTAAGATATTAGCCTGGACAAGATTTCCACACGTTTCGTCTCGGATTTTGTCGTGGAGGTCGTTGTTGAGTCCTCCAAAGGCTTCTGCAGCGAAAGGGGTGGTGTGTTGCTTTATGACGCACGAATGTTAAAAAAAGCTGCGTAACCTTTGCAAGGTTGGGGGGAGGGGGGGGGGGGGATGCGTGGCTTGCCGAGGTCTTCCTCTTCCTCTCGTGTCTGACCCCTACGGAGACACCTGTTTCAAAGAGAAGGGCCAAATTGGGGAGATGTGGGAGTAGTGGGAAGACGTCGACGATATTTAACCTCCAGCATTGCTATAGAATCGTTGCTAATGAGAGCGTGTGCAGAGGTTTTGTGTAGTTCATTGTCAGAGTCAATGAGGATATTTTCTAAATTCTGATATTTGAATGCTTCCACTGGTTTGGTATTATTGTCAATGTCAGGAAGGGAGGGCATGTAGACAAGAAAATCTAGCTGGAATTACAGTTTAGGGTGGAGGCATGGGGTTAACCGTTAAGGTGTTGAACTTAATTGTTCAGACACCAGGGGTTGCACAGGTAATGGTGGACATGAAACCAGTGGGGAGGATTTTGGTTGGGAAGGACGGTACTCTTGAAAAGGAAGTGAACTACCTCTGCGGCAATTCCTTTGTCACTGATATTGTACTCTCAGATGCTGAGCTATGACCCAATTATTCCATGACCTGCTCAGTTCGCCAGTGTGTACAGCAGCAGAATGTGGCCAACTCTTTTCAGCGCTGCGACATTAGGAATCGAATTGATTGTCGCTAATGCTCGTCGTGTGACAGTATCCTTGCATTGTCAGTACTGTTAAGGTTTAATACTGACTTTCTTAGAGTCTGAGCTGCAGTAGTAGGAGCGGCGCGTTTTGGGGTATTTGGTATCATGCGTACGTGATGTGTGTGTAGTCTCACAATCGAACGTAGCACAAACTAGTCAAGGCTGTTATTGCCTAAATGGGCATGGTCGAAGCTTCTGAATTTCTTAAGAGTAACGCACTGTGCACCTTCTTTCGTTGTTCATTGTGCTCTACGCATTCTGGAATTTTAACCACCATCGCAGTTTAGCGGGCATTCGATATTGCAAAAGTGTCAGTTGTCGACACCTCTGACTATTGGGGATTCCAGAGATACTGGAGTAGGCTTCATCTTCGCACCATTAGAGGATGGTTAACTTGCTGCTCAATGACTGCCGTAAAACGGTGTGAGAGTATTTGAAGAAGCAGTTCACAAGAGTTTAGCATCAATTCTCGAGTTCTGCACGATCTTCCGCATGTGTAAATCATCGCTGTGGGGACTCATCACCCAAATGATTTGTTGGGGATACATTTCGCCTACAGCACGTTATGGCAAAATGCAGAGCTCTCATGGGTGGAGTATAATGAGGAGAATTATGCTTGAACTTTGAAAACCTTGCTTCGAGAGTCTTACATCGAAATGGCAAACAACAGAAGTGGTTTTATGAGTGAACTTCGATTTTCGCGCAGACCCTTGTACAACACAGCCTGTCCTTTGTCCGCCGTGATGAAAGAATCAGCTACACCGATTTTGGAAGTCCCCAAGTAGGAACCGAGCACTTCAATGAAGTGTTCGTCAACTTATCTTCTTCCTTGCAGCAGGTGCGTTACAGCTTGACATTGAAAGAAGTTGATAATCGACTTCAGTAGTATATGGTTTGGTTCCGATATGTTGGAATGCGGCTAAGTTTCTCTTCGTCGTGGAATTTCCCGCACTCTGGAATTGCATTGTACTATGTGTCACTACAGGACGTACCAAGTGAACCTTTCTGTTGCTGAGTCTCCAGCTTACGAGTGGTTCTTGCAGCCACTAGTTTTTGGAGAAAGAATGTTCAAATATTTGCAAGTGTGGCGCTTACAAGCCGATCCAACTTGAAGCTCACTCTCTGATGGAAGACTTAGGTGTTTGATTCACAGGCCGCTCTTGAAGAGTTTACATGGAGAAGGGGAAAGTTTGGCTTGTGTCTATGCTGGAGTTTGTTTAATAGCACTAGTTGGACGCAGGCATGTCAGTCTGGCTCTTCATGCCGTGTGGCGTTCGGACAACCCATAGCATATTTTACTGCCCTTTGACCGATCGCTTGCTTCGAATTGCATGATATTCTTGGTGATTGAGTTGTAGCTTTGTACAATTAGCACGTAAGGGTACCTCACCCGAAGCATTGAAAATGGCATTTCTATTCAAAGTTTTTTCCTGGTCGGAGAGGCTGAAAGATACACAGAAATCTGCGGAGCTCGTGAACAAGACCTTTCAACAAGAGCTGGTACGTCGAAGTTTTCCTTTTGTCGCCCTGAACATTTACTTCTGGAGGCTCGGCCATCCCCTGCGATGAGCCACTTCTAAATCATGTGTTCGCTCGGGTCTTTGGAGTCTCTTGTTTTGTCTTTCTTTTTGAAACCTTCTATTAGCGACTATCGCGTCGTTTGAAAACTGCGACTATACAGAGAGACCTGATGGACCACGTCATGAACCGAGCATCCAAGTGAACGCAACAATATTTAATTTTTGCTCTACAATCACTCAGAATCTTTACCAGCTTGTGAATAAAAAGCTTCTGCCTCAAGTAGTTGACAGACGAATTTAATTGCTTCTTGTGCTAACTCTTCAATACACAAGTTCTCATTATTTCAACAAAATTAGAATCTAGACTTCTGACAAACATAAAATTCGCTCTTCTCGTACTGATGTATCTCAATTGACAGCCAGATGCTATCTGGGTTTGAATTATCCCTCACCCTCAGCAATGACCACCACATAACCCCTTGTGATGAGCGCAAAGCAAAAAATTTCGAGGACACCCCTGGAAACCTGCGGAAATAAAAATAAATGTGAAAAATTTCTAAGCTATCAGAATCCTACAGTATTAAATATGTACTAATGGTACGTAGATTGGATTCTGGTCATGCAGAAAAATGTACAGAGTAGACTGGAGGAGGAGAACGATGAACTGCAAATACTTGTGGACATGATTTACGACTCTTCCTTTCCTGAAACTCAGGTAAATATTATCGAATAGTTTTCTTTCACCACATCTTATGGAAAGGTATCGGTCCTTACAAAATGCCTCTCAAGGTTTAATTGGTTCCTGATACGGGTTTTGGTGCGCCCTGAGCCGGAGCTTTGATTCTTCTAGGCTGCTACCCCCGCAAACGGTGATGGCAGAGTTTCTTATTGAAACTGTCAAACGTGTTAACTTCAAATCTATTGAGTCATTGAAACTGAAAAGATGAACCATTTGAATGCTGACACCTGAATCCTGTACATTTGATGGTTATAGAGAAGAACTGCAGCATTTCAATGGCTGGCGTGAATTGTGTCTTATTCTTACAATTGAAGCTCTATGATGCAAACATCTCTTACTAAACCCTTTTTCCTCGATGATATCTCAGAAATTCTTGAAGGATCCTTCGAAAGATCGATTGCAGTCTCACACGGAGACTATTTCAAGTCTTCTGTTCGGTTTGGCTGCTCAAGGTAAAAATTCTCTTCTATCTGTTTTTAAATATCTTTTCGTCACCTGTAAATTCTTCCGCTCTTACAAGTGCACTGCGAAGCTGTTTAAGTAAAGAATTTTGGCTATAAAATTTGAATAGAATTTTCTCACCTGAGAATTGGTATTTTTTACTTAAAGTTCAGCTGGTGTTGCCGCTCCAGGTGTTGCAGTGGCTCCTTTGATCCTCACCCATTTTCAGAAATATGGATACGAAGCCATTGCTGACACGCTCATTAAGTTGTTGGAGCTTGTTCGGCCCCTTCTGGCATCCAAAGATGCACCGGAATTCACAAGCGACGACATTTTGGATGCTATAGATGTCCAATGGCACTCTTCCGTAAGATCAAGCCCTGCTTTTGGTTCCTTGAGAGGCTCCATACCTCCAAGTCCGCTTCAAAGTCCTCGTGGAAGCTTTTCTGCCTTGAGCCCTCGGGGGAGTTTTTCCAGCCCTCGAAATTCATTTTCTATGCACTACGCTAAAGTGGTAGGAAGTCCTGGAGTACAAATACCTTCTGAAATTATCTCGCCACGGAGGACTCAATCTTACTGTATATCTCCTCCATCCTCATTGCCAGGTGCTGGCTGGGATGGTGCAGGCAGCACTCCACCGAGGAGATCGTTCTCCTCCCGCATGCCTAGTTCAGACGGCAACCTCTCTCTTCCTTATGGCGAGAGACTACAGCCTCTTGCGGAGCAGGATGAGGAGAATAATCATGGCTCTGCAAGGTTCAGAAAGCATCATGACAGCAGCATCATGGCATCCTTGTTACAAATTGAAGACGACAAAGACAGTGCCTTGCGATTGAATTCGGAATCGGAACTGAAACAATCGCTGGATGCCAATATTCCTCGTAGATCACTTCCTCTTGAAGTTTCCAGGGACAGTGGGTTGAAGAGTGTGGGAGGTACCCAAGCCGTAGATAAACTAGATACACACGATGTTCCTTGTGTGAAGAGTACAAGCGTGCCAATTCCTAAAGTTGACAAATCGGGTGGTGAAGATAATGGGGATAATGGCGTCCGGGGCGCGAAAACCTTTGGAGCTCCGAATAGAGTGTTCTATGATTCATCAACTACAGCTCTTGACCAGGGAAATGTAATGAGGATTGTAAATAGTTCTCATGCGAAGGAAGTCGACGAAGAAACGCCAGAAGTCCTCGTACCCAGTTCATTGACGAGAAGTTCTGGCCGTGTGCAAAAACTTGTTAAGTTCTGGACAAGTTCTGGACTAGTTCTGGAAGGTGCTCCTGGCTTGCTTAACGAGAAGAACTTTGAAAGTGAAGCAGGTTCGACATCTTTAGCTCAAGATTGCTCATTTCTTTTCGTCCTCCCGTTATATGCCTGGTATGCATGGTGATCGTCATTTAAGCTCACTATGTAAACATTATATGTTTTTTGCTAGGAATACACTCTGAAAAGGTGCCTTTGCCTGATCAAGTTCCAACTCCTAAAAGCACCCAAGTTCAGCAATTGACTGAGGTATGCTTACTCAAAATGGTGAATCTGTGTCACCATACACAACTTTTTCACCATGAAAATTAGTAGTTGCGATATGTCCATCCGAAGATACTGTCTAGCACAGAATCACAACTACAGCAAATCATTCTTGCAATGGTTTTAGTGCATGGTGCACACTTTCAGCTAATTTGAGAAGTGCTTTTGAACCACTGCGCCGGATTCTCCGGCTGCTGTTGATATTTTAATGCGGTTTAGAATTGCTGAAAATACCTATTTAGTGGAATAATAGATATTAACAATGATTTTTTCCTAATACTTTCATCCCTGTTATCTGCAGGAGCTGTCTTCTCCTGTACAAAATACAACACAGGTGAAGCAGGACTCTAGCTTTAGTGCAAAGAAAACCGAGTCGAAACATATTGAAGTCGAATCCTGCATGAGCAATGTAAGAGTGTCTGATAATGCTCAAATTGACATGGGCAAAGCTGATGAGAACATGAGGAAGGTCGTACTGGAAGTGATAGGAGGCAACAATTTATCAGTGGATTGTGTCGAGGGGGATATAGCAAATCACGAACATCACCCTAGTACGCTCCCTCCCTTTTCCTTCGATGCGAGTGACAAGCTTTTCGCGTCAATCGCTATTAAAGACAAGGAGGAAAGTTCCAAATTACTCTTAGATCCTACTGAAGGAAGTATACCAGGTGTAGGCAACCTATCAGAGGGTGAGGTAGAAAGCCGAGAACACGAGTCCCTTGATTTAAGGCAGGGACAAGAGAATGTGGAAGCTATGACCGATATCTTGGATAGTTCGTCTGCTCTGGACAGTGAGGACAGTGACGATGACAACAGCAGAAATAGCTCCTCCAGTTCTTCATCGTCGCAATCTAGTTCTTCCAGTTCATCTTCAACTTCAGATGATGAAAGCACCTCTATTTCTTCCAAATCCTCAGAGAAGGGCGAAAGCCTATCCAACTCTGACTATGATACAGATGATGAACGCTGCATGATATCTTTGAGACAGCAAGGAACAGAAGAAGTCCCGCAGTCAGTGCCTGTTGAAGACTCTCTTGAGGGTGGCACGGTCCTTTCTCATGCTCAAGATGAGGAAACTACACTTCCGCTTGGCAACGTCTCTTCTGAATTCTGTTCCACTATTGACGTAGATACACACGAAGTGCCAGGAACAGAAGAAACTGGTTCGGTACCCTGTGACAACAACCCTGAGCTGGACCTTGAACCAGGTGCAGAATTGCTTACTCCTAGTTATAACTTGATGACATTTGACAGTGATGAAGACCGAAGCTCTGACCTCTCTATTGAATCCGAGGATAACTCAATTCCGGATGAGATGAGTGAGAATGAGGTGATTACCGAGCCAGCTTCACATGATGGTCTTCACATGATTTTAGTCAATTATATTACTGGAAGCAGACCAATTTCTCCGAAGGAGCTTCCACCTCTAACAAATACGACTGCAAACGGCACATCTCTTCCGTCTTCGTCATCTCAAAATTATCAAGAGGACCTTGTTGCGGGGAACGTCATGAAGGTGGTTGCTTCATCCGCCATTGATGGAAGCACTGACGCAGGAGTACACTCACATGATGCGCTCGAATTAAAGCTATCTGATAGGTCTCCTTCGGAGAAAATGGAAAAGACTGAGGCATCGGTTGTGACCGATTCCGTAATTCTGCTCAGTGACGATAGAGACCTGGAGGGGAATCAAGAACACGTGTTTGCCGACGTATCTTGCCATGATTCTGAAGTAGTTGTCACCGACTGTGAAGGTGGGCTAATTGGTGCTCTCGCTCAGAATGAGATGGAAATGGACTTTCCTACGAAAAACTGTGAGCCGCAATCTATTGAAGATGATTCATTAGCTTCGGTTCCTTCAGGTGAGGAGGTTCATGATAGGGATTTTCTTGTCAGAGAAGACTTGGTAACAGGTGGATCTGATGTAAAGGAGTTAGATGCTGCAGGGATTGAGACTTCAGAAATTTCTACAGGAATCGAAGAAGGCCATACCCCCGGAGGACACCCTAACGAACACATTACCAAAACAGGTGAAGATGAGCCGTATTTGGTTGAAGGCAAAAACCCACGGCAACAAAAGGATGAAGAAGTGAGTGGCTACAGTATGATCAATTCCCAAGAAGTGTCGTATGGTATCAAAAACAAATTCGCCGACTCTGTTTGTAATCAACAAACGGATCCCGCAAACGGTTGCACAATGACTTTTAGTACTGATGCAGCCACAAATATTTCTTTGGAAGGGGCTGCTATACAAGATAGCCCGCGTTCTAAAACTTCGTCTGAGATCGACAGTGTAGCTCTGCCCTCTTATGTACAAGAAGAGGGTGACAATGACACTCGCTACATTTCAGAAGAATCAAGATTTGCTAGAAGCCGAGAACCTTTACCGGATACAGCACTGGAGCAAGCTGTTCGCGTTGATCATACTAAATCTGTTTCGGAAGGCTCTGAGAATGATGTGCACTTGTTGCAGACTGAGGGCCATAAACATGACATTTCTACCTCCGCTAGTCCTGAATCAAGTGCCGATGCTGATCAAACTTCTGAAATATTTGCCTTGAAGAGTCTCTCCGTATCTAATGAACAGTCTGAAGTCCATAAATGCAGGTCTCACTTGATTGAAAATGCTGAAGATGATAGATTCAATGTTATCGTCGAACCTGTGAATGTCCATTGTATTGAGGCTGTGGCAGATAAGGGTGGTTTCGAAGGGTTTGGAGGATCACAGGAGAGTGAACAAGAAGTTGCGGGCCCATGTGAAAGGGATGTTTCAGAAGTCTCTAGGGATCCACATGGTTCATACCTGACTAAAAGCGAAATTCCATCATCTCTTCAATCTGAGAAGCATACTACTGACGCTGCTGAGCACGTATCTACTCAGTGGACATCACCCGATAGTAAAGACACGCTAGCTCAAAGTGACAACTATGACCCTTTGAGCTTGAACGAGGGTGAGGTTTCACCTATTGTTCAAGCTGATGAAACCCATCATCGTGAAAATGAAGGCCATAATTTAGCGCAAGCTGACAAGACCAACTCTAACTCAGTCCAATATACGGGGGAAGTTGGAAACATTGATTCAAGTGGAGGTGATTTGAAGCGTTGCACAGAAAGTTTGCTTGGTGTTCATCATGAGGAAATTTTTTTCCTTGGTGATGATGTATCCGAGCAATCGTTGGTTGGGTCTCGAAGTAGCAGAAGATCTAGCTTTGAGCAAGACGATTCGCTTCGCGATGTAAATGTCCAACAGACCGGATATTTCAAGGTGAAGGGGGGTATAGAAGTGACTCTTCCAGTGAAAGCTACGGAAAAGGAATCTGGTGGTGAAAGCTGTGTACTGAAAAGTTTAGAAGCCTCTGATGCAGGGAATCTAACTGGAAGCTTGATCTCTGGCAGTTATGACACTGAACTCTCTCCCAGGGTCGATGGCGACCAACAATCTCCACTTTCTGAGTACCTGGAGAGGAATAAAGTGACCAGTGAGGAACACAGGGAACCAGAGTTAATTCAGCGGGAATCTCTGAAGTCCATTTCAGCAGATTTGATGGTCACCACTCCTGCTTTTCAGTCCGATCGACATCTACAGCCGGTTGGAGAAGTCCCACATATGATTTGTGAAACTCCCCAGTCGTCGACTCAGGAAGAGGAAAAAGTTGACTTCACTCCCCATAGTGTCTTTACGCTATTGAGTGAACCCGAAGAGTTATTTCTAGCTGAAGACAAGGGAGCTGAATTAGCAGTGATTGAATGTACAGCTCCTTCGAACTCTCACGAAGAGAAGAACTCTTCGTTGAAGCATGATCGCAATAAGGAATCGGAAGGCGAAGTGAATAAGACTTCGGATTCTGAAACTAAGGATGCTTTGGATGGAACTGAATCCGATGGAGGTAATAACCCGTTTACCGAGAGGGGCGATTATACAGGTGTAATTGACTCGGAACCTGCCCTTAATCCTGTCAAAACCGAGACGTCTCCTTCTTCACTGAAAGTTAATGATGTTGAACAGGATGAGAACTTCTGCCGAGTAGCGAAAGATACAGGTGCCACTACAGCTACGAGTGGAAATGAAAATGATTGGGTATTTACTCTTCCTTGCCAAAGACCAGTGGATTCTAGAAAATTATTATCAGAAGAAAACTTTGATGCCCCAGGCTCAAGTATGTTTGTACAAGGTAATTTTAAGCAACCCTTGACGTTTGTCTCTTCGAACAACTCCCTTTCATCTGATATCGTTTCAGTTGAAGATTGCAAAGAAGTGACGCATTCTGAAGAAATTGAAGGTCAAGGAGATAAGAGCTTCACGGAATGTGGCGCTGCAAGTCAAACTTCTCAGCAGATAAACGATGTTTCTGAGCACCCTGTAAATCACGTCAGCACCAGGCGAGACTATGGAGGGGAAGAAAGATGGGATGAAAAAAGGCCTCTGAAACTTTCAAACAACACAATTGTGATATCCGAAAGATTAGAGTGGGACACCCTGGAGACAACTTACAAAACATCCAAGCTCTCGTTGGGTGGTCATGAGAGTGTCGCTAACAGGGGCGAGCAGCCTTTAAATTCAGTCTCCTTACCGAAAGAACAAGAGATGTCAATAAAAGTAGTAGAAGTTGAGAAATCAAGTAAACCACATTTTGAAAATGAAAGAACTGGAGAAACTTGTAAGCAGGTGAATGGTAATCAAAACACACGGCTGTTGGATGCCTTCGTCTCTACACCCGCAGATGAAAGTGAAAGAGTTTACCAAAACGAAGTGCAACAGAAGAGAACGGGAGATGATATTTTTGTGTGGCCTTCAGAGCTTTCAAAGGAAGAAAAGACACAGATGACTTCTTACGCACTCGGAAGGAATACGGATTGTGATGAAAAGGAGGTACTTGCGGGTTCCTTCATTGGATCATTATACAACCTGACGATCATAGATTCTCGGGGTGACCCTGTTAGTGCGATCCCAGTACCCACAACGATACCAAGTCCAGTTAAAGTTAACTCCTCCAGAACTATTGCGAATCTCAGCCATAGTGACACCATGGAGAAACATGCCGTTTTCCAGGATGATCGGAGTTATCTATCAGGTGATGAGAAGGAAGCAGAATCGCCCACTCGAAATGACTCAGGTTTGTCGCAAATTTACGTTATAAGTTTAACTGTTTATTGTGGATGTCAAGTTTTTCGCAATTATCAAGTTAGGTTATCTTCCTACTGCCATCTTGGAGTGAGGTAAAAAGAAACTCTTTATTTACATGAATGATAATGTTATGACTTGGTTCATTCCTCAGATTTTGATGAAGCAGCAGTTATGTCGCCTGTACACTCAAATACGACTAAAAAAACTTCGTTCGTGTCGAATGCTTCTAGCTTACGCGACTCCATCATCTGCAACTCGTAAGTAACAAAAAAATCAAACCGTATAACTGGAAGAGCCTTCTCATCCAAAAAATGTGCTTAATTTTTCATATTCGCCATGGTTGCATGGGCTGTTCGTTTAGTTATAATGTGGAATGCTTCATAATTTGGCATTTGGCTGACATTGGAAAATGAAGTCGTGAGGCTACCCAGATTCACTTGCTCTGCTTTTCGTCTGGACGTCCTTGGGATTATGGTCTCACACATGTGCGGATTGAAGATTTTTGATGCATTCTGGATTTGGCACTACTCGCAATAGTTATCACTTTTTATGAATCGGTTGACGTAATATCAGCAGCTGAAATGTCAGATTACGTATCTCATGTGCAGATCATCCAGTGAGTCAAGTTTTCAGACTGAGAAGAGAGTGCGACAAATACGCCGGTTCAAGTTTGTCCGGACTTTATGTTGCTCTTGCTGCTCGAAACCTTCTACATTGTAATTTACGTGAATATATGTTCATACTAACCTTCCTCGTTGCGAAATCATGAAGTGTGTAAGAAAATGTCAGGATTTGAGGATTCATCGATTCAATTATCAAGCATGTGATAATTGACTATACTGGTCATCCTTCGATGTGGTCACCGTTTTAACAGATCTCCTCCAGATTCCAATGGCCAAAATCGGTCACACGCTGCAATCCAGTTCTCTTGCGGAATTTGCAGGGTTCCAGTAGGTAGCACAGGAAATGGGTGTAAGTCAGATATGTTAAATCAACTCTAGAATAGCCGTGTCAACGTTGGTTACAAACGGTGATTTGTGTACTGTATTACCCAATGTATGTACTAGGCTTTATAACCAACTTAGCAAATCAGTTTAGGGTGGTATGGATATACATAGAATATCTTTTTTTGTGTATGGTCACTACAAGTCCAGTTGGATTGTAGTATGATTTGAACAAAGAGCATGAAACCCATAGTATGACAGTTAGGAGCTTGGTTTAAGATGATGTAAAGAAATATTCGGTCAACACAGAATCCAACTTTTGTTTCATGATTTAGTTGAAAAAAAAATCCAGGACCTCCCATGAACGTGTGAAGCGAATAGCTGTATCGATGGGCAGAAATCGATGAGGAGTGTGTGCTGGAGACGTGCCAAGGCTAGCTTGGTATTGACAGCATTTTCGGTGCTTGAATGAATCGGACAATTTGTTTCGCCATATGTTGCTAGAATTTTCCAGAATCCACCCCAACTGGATCTAATCCCAAGCTTTTGATCTACTTAAGTGCATGAGTGATCATCAAGTAAAGATGTACTACAGTGACGTATGATGTTGGTAAACTACAGAAACCTGTACATCTTGGGCTCTGTACTACAGTTACGTGACTCTTACTGCTAGATAAAAATACCAGTGAGTCTTGTAAATTTCATAGTGAAAAGTGCTGAGATTAGAACTGTTAACGCTGAGGACAACTTACGACTAAGAAGTAATTCTAATCATTCAGTAAGTTCTCATAACTCTTCAATGTATCTGTATTCCTACGTCAGTTAACGGCTAATGTTGGTTTACAATGTAGTTGTTTGATCTGTACATGAACGATTTTGTTTAGGATTATGTCTGCTAAACGGTCGCCCTCATCGTCCGGACAGGCTCATTGCTTCCTCCCAGGCAAGCTCACGGAGAGCAAGACCTCCTGTTAAAAACGTCATTATTAATATGATCAATTGATACACAATATATATATTGTGTGTACCACAGTGACACCAAGAGTCACAACTCTTGGTGTAAGGTCAATATAGAGTAGACAGTATTCTACACATGAGATTAGTGTACTATACAGTATAATTCTCTCAATACTCCCACTAGTACACTAATCTTCATCCTCGAATTGGATTTCATCTATTGTAGAAGTTCATCCATTATGAGAAATATGTATGAGAAATATAGGGTTTCAATCTCCTTTTTGGGTGTTGCGTTGATGTAGAACTCTCTCGCAGCTCTTCCACTACTTCTTTAAAATTGAGAAGGTATGTGTTTCTTTGTTGATTTTGAACTGTTGTTAGATTGTGTTTCATGATTGCTTCGTGCATATTCCTTTTTTATTGCGAAGCTATTTTTGCTATTGTTGTTGGAGGCGCTATCATATGGCATGATTTGCAATTTGGAAATACACTGGGTATCTAGCTATAGAAAGTGTAGCTTAAGCCTTTATATAAATCTTATCTTAGATTCCAAAACTCCTTTAATTTGCATAAAACTCAAAATATAATAAAATCCCTTCAAAACATATTTTTCCTACAAAGGATTTTCTTGTCCTAAACTTTAGAAATTCATAACTCTTGATCTAGCTATTCAATTTATCTCAAATTTATAGAGTAAGTAGAATTCATCCTTAAATTTTACCACAAAAAAAAACCAATTGCAAATTCACTCCCAATCTTCTAGCATCTAAGAAATCCTAGTAGACACTCTAAACCCCAATTTACAAGCACTCGAGTACTATTTTCTTAATATCTCAAGATCCCAATATTCAAATGTCATCAAAATTATGTAAAAAGTTTATTAACATGAATTTACACATTTCTTGAAGTTTTGAGCCAAAACCTTATCAAATTGCTCATGATATAGTTCAAGACACAACCACTAGTAAATCGGGTCACTTACTACCCTTAGATTGTATGTGCTAACTTCAAAATCCAATAACTCCTTCATTCCAACTTGGAATCCAGCAAGTAGTATGCAAAAAGTGTAGCCGCAAAAGTGTTTTTTCTAGTCGTAGTCACCGATCCTCAATTGCCTTCCGTACGCATGCAATATGTCAAAAAGAGTGAAAGTAGCTCCCAAATCAATACCTTAACTTTGAGCGCCTATATCTCCTTTATATATAAACTCCAAATCATACAAGATTTGTACCAAAACCATAGCCAAAAATCTAAACTTGCTGATCTTAGCCTTCAAAGTTCAAAAAATCCTCCAAAAACTAACCCTAATCTCTAATATGGCCTTGGGTAGTCTCCTTGAAGTCCATTGGTTATGATTTTTGACCAATAGGAATGGAGATTTTTATCATCCATCTCCATTCATCTATATGGATGCCTTAAACTCTCTTTTTTTTACCAAAATCCCTCTCAAATTCTTTTTTTTATAATATTTATTCAATATATGTCCTAAATACCAAATAAGAGAACCAAAATAAGTTTTCAAAGGTCACCAATGTCTAACAAAGGTGATTCTAAATATTGAGAAGTTACTATCAATCAAAACCAATCTTAAAAACCACTATCAAAAGAAATTAAAGTTATACAAATTCAATGGTAATCTTTTTAAACAATTCCTTTTCAAGGTAATAATCAAATTATATTCTATAACTAACTAAAATCTATTAATATGGCTCTCACCATGTTACTTAATAAATTATATATTAAGTACAAAATTACATTATTTTCATATAGTATTCGAACCACAATACGACATCTACTCCCTCTAAACCCGTGCATCCTCCGGTATGCACCAAGAAGAATCAAAGTTGTAGTTGATGTCATATTACTTCCTCAATAATATCTTCTTCAATATCCAATTCTTCTTCTTCATACTTAGATAGATCAAACTCTTCTTCAACATCTTCAAGGACTAGCTCTTGATCCCTTTGTTTGAAAAAAATTATATGTTTTCTTGCAATTGGAATTTTGAATCTTATTCCATCTAATTTTTTTATGCATATGTAGCATTATCCAAAATATGTACAACCACATATGGTCCAAACCAACACTTAGAGAACTTTTTAAGAGCACTATGTTGGTTATCCAAGCTCTTGTCATATACCAAAATCCAATCACCTTCTTGAATATCTTTTGGCCTCAATCTAAATCGCTTATCAAATCTATCTTTATTCTTCAATTGCGACTCCCTCAGCCTTATAATTACTTTTTTTACATCTTCAGGTCTTCTCTCTCATTGACGAATTCGAAGTACAAGAAGTTCTTTAGATATATTGTCTTGCCAAGACAAGATACTCTAAGTAGGTATTTGCTCTTCAATTGGCATAATGGGCTTCTGTCCTTGCATTAACGCTATTGGCATATATCCTGTCACTGAATTGTGAGTAGTACGATTAGCCCAAAGAGCAAATGGTAATAATCTTAGCCATTTTCTTGTTCTTCCTTTGGAAGCTTTAACAATGGCCCTTATAATAGGAGGATGACCTCGCTCACTTTTAGCATTGCCTTCTACATTATAACATGTAGTAAGTGCTAGCTTGACTCCACATCTCTCAAAGAATTGTCTAGCCTTATATGCATGCAATTCTCTACAATTAGTAGTAATTTTTCTAATACATCCATATCTACAAATCACATCTTCTAGTAAAAATCTACAAATTCAACTCCTTCAATGGATTTTGTTCTTAGAGCTCTTCCTTCTACTTGGTTAGATTAATCTTCTCGTACTAGAGTCAAGTACCACATTTGCCATATCCCTATAGGCATAGTAACTAGGTCCACAATTCATTTATAATGTATTGCAAGTGGATATGTAGGATGCAATCCATCTCTATGTCAAATCTATGAGTATATCTGAGAAGTCTAGCATGATTTTAAAAACTTCACTATATCTCTATACATATTATGTCACCAATATTTTTCTTTGTGCTTATTAAAAGTGGCATAAATACCTCTATGTCTAGCCTACAAACTATCATGGAATTCATGGATTAATTATTCTTGCATCTCTTTTTTGTAAACTACTCTCTATTACATTCTACTATCCCATTTGCATCACTTCTATAGGTAACCACCTTGTAAGAGGTAGTTGTAAGCCTTCCGTCTAATTTGTTTGAAATGAGTATCACTCCATCCTGATTGTCTTGATAATGTGCTTAAATAGCATCCAATCTCAATCCATTTTTCTTCATATAATTCTTCTATAAATGGTCTTGGATATTCGTCCTTTTCTTATTGTATCCTAAAATAGAAGGTAGTAACTATATCTTCAGTAACTTTAATATAATCTTCTTTTTGTTCATATCTAGCTCAGGATAGCATATCTGCTATAAGATTATCTTTGCCTACTATATGCCTAAATTCAGGATTGAAAGATTTAATATATGCAATCCATCATAGCATAACAATATCAAAGGTGTTACAGTTGGTAATCATTCCCAATAGTGCCAAATAATCTGTTTCCACTATCACTAGTGCTCCAATTAAATAATCTCTTTCATTTTTCATAGCTATAACTATTCTCCATAGCTCTCGTTTTACCTGTGGATAGTTTCTTTGTCGTTCACTTAATACTTTAGCTCCAAATCTAATAGCAAATCTGTTACCTTCTTCATTGTTTTGTCCTGAAGCCCAATCAACAGCTATTGGACTAGTATCAACAATAAGTATCACCGATTTGCCATCCTCATAACTTATCCTTTGCAATATAGGTGGGAAAGATAATAACTGCTTAAGCTTTTGAATTGTTTCTGTGTGCTTCTTTTTCCATTTAAATCTCTTTCCTTTTCGTAGCAAACTATAAAGACGATCAGCTACATGTGCATAATGAAGAATCCATACACAATAAAATATGTAAGCTTCTAAAATCCTCCGTACTTCTATTTGTGAGCTATAAATATCCTTCATCCGTTGTATGGCATCCACCTTATTAAGGTCAGGTTTACGACCAAACCATCTACACGAATGTCCCACAATAACAACTTCTCAAATTCCAAAGGTAGATTTAGCTCATGATAGTGTCAAGTAAACCTCCTCAAGTTGAGATAAAATTTTGTCATAGTTTAAAATATGATTAGATACAAATTTATGGCACCCTTTCTGATCTATTGTTTCATTTTTTTCTTCTTCCACACACCTTTTTATTGAAATATCATCGAAGAAGGACATAGTCTTTTTTGGAATGAAATCACAAAGAACCTTATTCATCCCATTCATCATGTGAGCTATCGAATTTGTTGCTCTTTGTGGCAATGTACACATCTTAACCAACCCTAAAAGTGTCTTCATAGTAGTGATATCTTTGCTTCCTTCAGCTAGTTGAAATTGATCATATCCAG